GTCAACAAAGGACGAATAAAAGAAGAAAGAACCAAAAAGAATCTGCTTTTAAAATCTGCATATCTCTTGGTAACATTATACAAATACTTGTCTACACATGAAGGCTTCCACACATAATGACAAATTTCAATAGTCGATTCCTTACTAAGAGAAAGAGATTCAAACCAGAAAGCAATAAAAACTGGGAGATGGTCATAATCAAATTTATTCAAAACCTTAAAGTCCACTATATTATCAACTAATTCCAAGTTTGTAGCTATCAATAACTGATGCACATGGAGGAAATAAACATAAAATTAGCAGGTAAATCGATAACAAATTGACCATTTAAAAGAATCAAACCAAAAGATTTAACTAAATTCAAAAAGTTCCTTCCCCTGTAGTTAAAGATCACATCTTTAGACTCTCTATGATTATAAAAATTTAAATTAGGACCTGTATATAATGTATCTATTTCGGAATCAATTCTAGCATTAGAATCACCGAGAATCAAAATGTCATCATCTTCCTTAAAATCAAGAATCAATCTATTAAGATAATCAATGAATCATGTTTATTTATAGAAATATATACCAAGACAATTAGAAGTTTAGAACAATCATTAAACAAAAGTTTATCAAATGTAAGTTTAGCAATAACAAAATTATTGGAAAGATGACAAATTTCCAACTTACCAAGCTTTCAAGAAACTATTAAGAACAAACCACCAGATAGTCTTCCACTCCCTCGGATTTGTGAATGAAAGATTCAGTAAAATAAAACTGAGAATCTAACATTGAAAGAAGGGTTTTCATCAAAGATATCATCCATGTTTTGGTTATACCAATAATATGATATGAAAAGACAAAATCAACAAAACTCATATCAACAAAATTAGTGTATAATACACCTTGACCATTCCAAGATAAAACCTTTAATGTAAAAAAATCTTCTGAACAAGGGATAACAGGCAAAGTTTTTAGTTTTTGTCCATTTGACAAGCCACCAACTTCCCTGGTAATAAAAAAGGTTCAATCTTCATCAACTTGCCATTCAATAAGTCAAACATAAAATTATCTCCATCAATTGTTAAGCAATCAGTTCTCATGAACACAGATTTACCTGTCACCTTAGCTTCTCGATAAAAAGGAAGGTTCTTTTTCTGAATTCTCAATCTCCAAAGTAAATCGTCAAATACCTTACCCTAGAACATTTATCCCTCATTCAAATGATGTGTTCATTTTGGTAAATCAGTTTTTTTATTGAAAACATCATCAAGTTCAGTGACTATCAAATTATTTTTTGAAACTATTTTAAGAGCTTTCACTAAAATAGAGTCACCATTGGGTCTTTACACAGATGACAGAATGTCAAAAACCAAAGACAGAATTTCCGATGAATTACCCTCCAATCCAGCGATAACAATATTACTTTGCTGACACTCATTATCTGATCAATCCAAGAGATAAAAAATAAGAAGTCTGAGTAGTAGAAAACACATTTGAGTTAGACAGTTCTTCCACCTTCTTCTCCACATTAATGAGACAATGTTCAAAGTCTTTATGTAAATTTGCCAGCCAATCAAATTTAGTAGCCAAATCCTTGAGTTTAGTCAAAATGCCGTCAAATCTCTCCTCCAAAAAGAAAAATAAATTTTGAGGTACATTAGTAGATGAGGCCAATAGAGGAAAAAACAATTAGTCATTGGAATTTTAGAGCCGGTTCACTAGGAGATCTTGTCGTTTTCCAACAGACTATATGGATGACTTTGAAAGAGGGGAGGAAGGAGGTGTCCGAGACATCAGGCCAAGATTAGATTCCATGCAACCAATTAGTAATAAAGAACGTAGTAATAAATATATGTCAAAATTTTTAGAAAAACTGAAGTAAAGATACACACAAAAATTGACACAAATCATATCCAAAGTGTTAGAGTTCATTATTGACTAGCGCACTCAAAAACCCACCAACACTGATGACATTGCATGCACCCTTCCCAGGAATTATGAATATTTGTCTGAGATTTGTTCCTTTCATTCAGTACACTATACTGACAAGGAGTGGGAAATGATGAATACTGAATATTTGTCAAACAAAATCACAAGTAAATTGTTTACAAAACTTGGTATAGGCAAAATGTTTGCTCAGCATTTGGAAAATACCAAATGTATAGAACTGTCTTTAAAGTGTACTTAGACAAATTTATATGGTAAGGTTATTTATATAGGTTACATGTAACATAACAGTAAGTATTTATGTATCTAAGCATAGCCAAGTAGAAAATGTACAAATTTTTCAGCTCCATTATAATCTTATAGAACCTCTGTCATATATGCATTCTGCCAATGATATAAGCCAAATATCATTCAGCAGTACATACCTGTATCAATAAATTCAATTATAATCAACATCAACTANAAATTTATCTTTTTCTTTATTTTTTTGAACAATATTTAAAATATTTTTTAAAATGTTTAATTTTTTTAGTTCAATTTCCTCTAGTTTTTTCCAGCGTTGTTCATCCATCTCCTCTTGTTTTTTTATATACTCCTGAAACCATTTGGGAGGCTCATTTTTGGAAGAATATGCTTTTTTTCTTTTTTGGTTGGTGGTGCCTGTTTATTCTCCAGGCAATTGTCTGAAGTACAAACATCACCAATTTCCTCAACATTTTCCTCAGTTGCTGAGGATAATGATGATAATAATGTATCAGGAGGAGAGTTTACATTTGATTTTGAAGCAAGGAAAGTGTCTAAATCCTATGAAATTCCCAAAAGGGAACTTGGCCACCTCCAGATCGTTTCATCTGATCTTTCCTCCTCCTGTACATCAACATTTGGTTTCTCCATTTCCTGCCTGACTCTATTGCTGTTAAGTTGAAACCTTTGTTTTTCAGTTTTTGGCTTATTCAACCCCATAATTTTATTTTTTTACAACTTGGACTCTGAAATTGCAAGTCCATTTCTCTGCGAAATTCTATAAGTTTTTTTACAGAGGAAGTGGTCCATGTAGTTTCCTATAAAATATTACATTTTCATTAGCATGTTGATAACTATATAGATTCTTTAATTAAGTTTTCAAAAACTTACTTTAAAGACTATTCACAAAAATATTCAAACTTAAAGTATTTTATCATAAATATGTTAAATGTATAAATGGATAAAATGAATGGTTTTATTTAAGGATAACAGATCTTGTTTTCTTAGAAATAACTGCTTCATAAATGTAAACCATAATTTTTTAAACTCATAAAATATAATACAGTAAAGCATCGTTTATCCAAATCAATTGGGGACTGGGGTTGTTTGGATAACTTATTTTTCAGATAACTGATTATGTACGAAAAAATATTAACCTATACCATGTTGAAATTTTTCTCCAATGCATGTTGCTTTGCGTTGAATTTTCGTCGATGTTAAGCCTAATGAAAATTTTTATAATAATAATCATGGCTATTGTATCATTAAAAATTATTTCTTTATTTTGTACAAACAAAATAAATATATTGAAAAATATAAATACAAAAAAATTATACTTTAGAAATTAATCTAGTATCAAAAACGTTCAATTCACCAGGATAGTCCTCAGAAAAACACCACACAAAAGTGCCAGTGCTGCCAGCTAAAAAACACACACCAACAAAAAAAATATTGGAGTAGCCCAAGACATAGCCAAAGATTGCAGCGCCACAGCACTAGCAGAAATTTAAATTTTCTGGCTGGAACACTTTCGGTTAACCAACGTTTCAGTTGACCGGCTTTCGGATAAATGATGCTCTACTGTACTTACAGAATCTAACTTGTTCACACACTTCCCTGATTCAGTATTCTGACCAGGTAGTTTCAGAGATAGTTGAACCTGTGGTGGAAAATTTTAAATTTTGAGATTTCAGTAAATATATATATGAGAGAGATTTTATTTATAGTTTTTTTTTTCTTATATATATTTACATTGGTATTACAATTTTATCATAGTTGTCTCTAGAATGCTTTAAATGAATAATAAAACATGTCTCACCTATGCCTTCAATATTATTAGATGAGAAGAATACTTCACAGTACTTCTCTTGAAATGTCTCATCTGAAAAATATTGGGTTGAACCAAAAGTTCATTCAGTTTTTAGAAAGAAATAAAATATACTATTTTGAAATAAATAAAAACATTTAATCCACAATGTATTCACCCTTCTGTTCAATAACCTTANTCTAAACATGAAACATGTTTATGTTTAGTTTAAAAAGTTGAAATTATATTTTCATTCTTTCTGTCTTGTGGGCACTAAGAGGACCTTTTAATCAAGCTCATCATGGGTTCACTTTATTAGAGAAGTGGAAAAGAAAGTAAAAAATAAAGAATAGTACTAAACACTAAAAACTTGGAAGAAAATTAGTTTAATTTTTAAAAACTGATGATTAAAAAATTTTTTAGTTTTATGAGAAAGAAACTTGAACTTCTAGTGTTAATTTGATATAGAATACAATTTTAAGTTCTTGCATATTTTTGTCATTTTTGTAAAAATTGTTTCTAAAACATAGCAACTTAAAAAACAATTATTCTATGAACCAATGACCAGTGTGCAACAAAAAAAACAAAAGAGAAAGTTAGCAACTTAACACCAGAAATCAGAGTTCCTTTCACATATCCTTTTTGGTATAAAGTGCAATTAGTTTTTCATTTTTCAGATTTCTCCTCTGTTCAAAGCAAAGATAATTCACTTTCTTTATATATTGTGAGATTTTATGCATTTCCATGTAAAAGTAATTCTTTGAATAGCTATAAATCATTAAGTTTAAATATATACAAGCAAGTTTTTTCACTGTTTATGTAATTGTACATTCTTTTTGTAGTAATTCTGATAATGAAGAAAATGATCCATGAAATTACATAATATTACAAGTATTTTATATTTTCAAAGAAACTCACTGAATATTTTTTAAGGTATAATTTATGAAATAGAATTAATAAAATTATTAAATATTAAAAGAAAAATAAATAATTATAAAATTTAAAATATTTTTTACCTGTTCCCTAATATTTAAAGCTGCCCACTGATATAATAAATGCTCATTCTAAAAGAAATAAAAATATAATTAAAAAGTGAATATAAAAATAAGCAATGATAGAGAATAATTTTTTACTATTTTCTTTCATGTAATATTTGCTTACAATGTAGTAAAATGTACTAATGATTAAAATAAATATTAAAATAGAATAATAATAAATTAGTAGCAAGACATGAGGTTTACAGTAGTTTCAATAGTCAGTAGAAACATATTTAGATTTTGCTACAGGCTAGCCATTAGTTATTTCACTGATTAGTCTGTAGCAAAATCTGAACATGTTTCCACTGACTACTGCAGCTACCGTAACTATAAACCTTATGCCTTACTACTTTATTTGTTGTGAGCCAACAGTTTATGTAAATAAGCAAATCCACACACTCATGCTGAGAAATTTTAGTTTTATTTAAAGAAAACTAAAAGTAACAATAAGAAACTGGTAATGTTTCATGTTCTTGCAATCATCTGCATATCAAGTTTAAAAAAGAATGCATTCAATCCCCAGAACATATCTAATTACAGAAGTTTGCAGCTGGCCCTACTTAAGTTGAAAGTGATTTGACCACATAGGAATGCTATGTAATTATAGTTTACATTTAGTAGTACAGCATGTGCAAAATGATGCACCATGTAATAAATACACTACACACTTGTCCCTGATGCTTTGGCTATAAGCTTTTATAAACAATTTCTGTATTTCTTTTGGGAAATACTATGTACTTATGTATTGACATCATATCAAATTTACAAATTTATCACCTGTATGCAAGACTTTTATGTAAAAATAAATAATTTTTGGAATATAGATACACCATTTTTTCATAGTGACAGTAAATAAAATTCATGAATGTAATTATATAATTAAAATCGAGATTTAAAGATGTGTGAATATTAAAAACTTCATACAGTAGTAATTCAAATATACCTACTTTCAAATGTACATATTTGAATTCATACTTCAAATGCATTGGAGTTCAAATGCCTAATTTGAAAAATTTTCATCTTGGAATGTGTTAAATTTCACAACTGTTATAATTAAATCATACATATATGTGAGGAGCCAAGGACATAGAGTTCAAATATCACTCTTGAAACTCTAGGTCACTTAATCAGCACGCAATCTTTTAGATTGAATCGCAACATCAAAGGATGGCTTCCTAAGACTTAGAATAAAGAACAGAATTTCGTAAGAAACCCACAAAAGTTGTTTTCCTGATATCAGCCTAGATATAGTGTTAGGCACACTTATTTCTCTTTTTAGAAAAATTTTAAATGGGAGGATCGTGAGTAAGTGGAGTGGACATAGGCTCGGTTTTTAGTCAAAGATGAGTCCATATTAAGAGATAACAAAAACATTTAATAAAACAAATCAAATAAACAAAAAATAATAAGAGTACAAAATGAGAAAGCTCCTAACTCGCAAGAGAGAGAGAGAGTTTACATGGATTCTAATGTCATACTACCTTATCAAATATCATAGAAGTATTCATAGTCATAGTCTTCTATTGGAAATGTGGATCAGGAGAATAAATCTTTTATCACTTCCTGTTGTAAATATGGCACTTCAAATATTATGGGAGATAGTCCTTAGTTATATATGGCAATCTTATTACAGAGATAGCCACTTCCGTGGCCAGTTCAGATAACAGGTTCTGCTTCAAACGAACTGCGCGAAAAGGTGTGAAAGCTACCCTTTTTTATAGGGATGGCTGATTCATCTGCACAGAACAGTGAGTAGCTCTACTCAGTCCAGAAAGGAAGTTCATTTCCTCCCTTCCTCAGAAACGAAAAATATACATCCTTTCCATTAAAATTTTATCAAGAAATAAAATATTTTGTTATAATATTTTAGTAATAAATCTAATTAACCCACAAATCTCATATATATGTTAAGTAACCATAGCTGTTAAATTTACACAAAAACTTTCTGTTCAACCCAATGTAACCTTTACTTATTAACCATGAATCCCAGAAGTGCGTAGAAGCAACAGTCTAAGACAAAGATTGTAATATTGATGATTGAAGTAAAAAAAGAACTTATCACAAAGCATGAAAGTGATATGTGTGGTAAATCTGACAGCCATAATTAAGATGCTGATGTCAACAGTGTATGACCAGTAAATGTAATTTTCATTTTACTATACAGTATTTGTGTATTTTATTTGTTTTCATGTTTTAATTTATTAGGGTAGTTAAATGTATTATTTTTAGCTTAAATTATGTGTATTTTCTGTTTTAAGTTTATCAAAATGGCTATTCTTTAGAATCTGGGAATGGACTAATTCACTTTCCATTATTTCTGATGGGAAAAATCAATTTGAACTTTAAACAAGTCAGAGTTCAAATGGCCTCCTGGAAATGATTAAATTCAAAGTATAAGGAATCACTATACTCAAAAACTCATCCTTTTACTTTCATATCTTTTAAACTGTTTATTTTATTATAAATGTTATAATTTTTAAATTAATAACTAAAAACTTTAAGTTATTAATTTAATTTCTGAATTAAGTGAGTGTTTTATTCTTAATATTTAACAGATATAATTATTTTAATAATAACTGCTTGAAGAAACTTTTAAAGAATAAAAATATTTAAAAGATTTTGAAAAATTTCTCATTACACTGGACAACAATGATTTTGTTTCATGCTCAAAATTAGCATATTCTTATGTATTTTCATCTGCTGAATTCAAAAATCACTATAAAAATGACCAATTAGCTCTTGCTTTGGAGCAGTGGTTTCCAACCAGTGGTCTGCAAGAGCTAAAATATGGTCCGCAAAAGATTTAAAACTTTTATTCATTTTAAATTATAATTTAAAATGATTGACGTAATCTAAATAATACAAAATATATGAGAAAGGTTTTATAGTAAAATTTATAAAAAAAATGTTTCATTACAAAATAGTGCATCTTCAATTATTTCAAATTTTTGTTGGTGTTTTTTCTGTAAAACTCCTCAGATCAGCATATAATAAAACTCCACTCTATTATAGAATATATATTTATGCAAACATGACAGCCCTCCTTGACTCAATCAATTATGCTGAGCACAAGTGGAAAATATGTGATCTAAAAGTCATCGCTGTACTCTTAGGAATGCATACTGGGGTACACTAAATAATGTTGCTTTTTATGTATGTGGGACAGTAGGGATAGGAAATCACATTTACATTCAAGTGGACTGGCCTGCAAGAAATCTTGACTCTACTAAGAAAAATATCGTTGCCAAGCCTCTTGTGGACCCAAAAGATGTTCTTCTTCCACCCCTTCATATCAAGCTGGGTTTAATGAAAACTTTTGTCAAAGGTTCATACCTTTGACAAAAGGCATTTAAGTACTTAAGAGACAAATTTCCTAGATTGAGTAATGCAAAGGTTAAGTAAGGTATTTTTGTTGGGCCACAAATTCGAAAACTTGTAAAGGATCCCACGTTTGACAAAGTTTTGGACGGAAAAGAAAAAGAAGCTTGGGAAGCCTTAAAGGGAGTTATTCATGGATTCTTAGGCAACAAAAGAAACGATAATTACTCTGCTCATTCTAAAAGAAATAAAAATATAATTAAAAAGTGAATATAAAAATAAGCAATGATAGAGAATAATTTTTTACTATTTTCTTTCATGTAATATTTGCTTACAATGTAGTAAAATGTACTAATGATTAAAATAAATATTAAAATAGAATAATAATAAATTAGTAGCAAGACATGAGGTTTACAGTAGTTTCAATAGTCAGTAGAAACATATTTAGATTTTGCTACAGGCTAGCCATTAGTTATTTCACTGATTAGTCTGTAGCAAAATCTGAACATGTTTCCACTGACTACTGCAGCTACCGTAACTATAAACCTTATGCCTTACTACTTTATTTGTTGTGAGCCAACAGTTTATGTAAATAAGCAAATCCACACACTCATGCTGAGAAATTTTAGTTTTATTTAAAGAAAACTAAAAGTAACAATAAGAAACTGGTAATGTTTCATGTTCTTGCAATCATCTGCATATCAAGTTTAAAAAAGAATGCATTCAATCCCCAGAACATATCTAATTACAGAAGTTTGCAGCTGGCCCTACTTAAGTTGAAAGTGATTTGACCACATAGGAATGCTATGTAATTATAGTTTACATTTAGTAGTACAGCATGTGCAAAATGATGCACCATGTAATAAATACACTACACACTTGTCCCTGATGCTTTGGCTATAAGCTTTTATAAACAATTTCTGTATTTCTTTTGGGAAATACTATGTACTTATGTATTGACATCATATCAAATTTACAAATTTATCACCTGTATGCAAGACTTTTATGTAAAAATAAATAATTTTTGGAATATAGATACACCATTTTTTCATAGTGACAGTAAATAAAATTCATGAATGTAATTATATAATTAAAATCGAGATTTAAAGATGTGTGAATATTAAAAACTTCATACAGTAGTAATTCAAATATACCTACTTTCAAATGTACATATTTGAATTCATACTTCAAATGCATTGGAGTTCAAATGCCTAATTTGAAAAATTTTCATCTTGGAATGTGTTAAATTTCACAACTGTTATAATTAAATCATACATATATGTGAGGAGCCAAGGACATAGAGTTCAAATATCACTCTTGAAACTCTAGGTCACTTAATCAGCACGCAATCTTTTAGATTGAATCGCAACATCAAAGGATGGCTTCCTAAGACTTAGAATAAAGAACAGAATTTCGTAAGAAACCCACAAAAGTTGTTTTCCTGATATCAGCCTAGATATAGTGTTAGGCACACTTATTTCTCTTTTTAGAAAAATTTTAAATGGGAGGATCGTGAGTAAGTGGAGTGGACATAGGCTCGGTTTTTAGTCAAAGATGAGTCCATATTAAGAGATAACAAAAACATTTAATAAAACAAATCAAATAAACAAAAAATAATAAGAGTACAAAATGAGAAAGCTCCTAACTCGCAAGAGAGAGAGAGAGTTTACATGGATTCTAATGTCATACTACCTTATCAAATATCATAGAAGTATTCATAGTCATAGTCTTCTATTGGAAATGTGGATCAGGAGAATAAATCTTTTATCACTTCCTGTTGTAAATATGGCACTTCAAATATTATGGGAGATAGTCCTTAGTTATATATGGCAATCTTATTACAGAGATAGCCACTTCCGTGGCCAGTTCAGATAACAGGTTCTGCTTCAAACGAACTGCGCGAAAAGGTGTGAAAGCTACCCTTTTTTATAGGGATGGCTGACTCATCTGCACAGAACAGTGAGTAGCTCTACTCAGTCCAGAAAGGAAGTTCATTTCCTCCCTTCCTCAGAAACGAAAAATATACATCCTTTCCATTAAAATTTTATCAAGAAATAAAATATTTTGTTATAATATTTTAGTAATAAATCTAATTAACCCACAAATCTCATATATATGTTAAGTAACCATAGCTGTTAAATTTACACAAAAACTTTCTGTTCAACCCAATGTAACCTTTACTTATTAACCATGAATCCCAGAAGTGCGTAGAAGCAACAGTCTAAGACAAAGATTGTAATATTGATGATTGAAGTAAAAAAAGAACTTATCACAAAGCATGAAAGTGATATGTGTGGTAAATCTGACAGCCATAATTAAGATGCTGATGTCAACAGTGTATGACCAGTAAATGTAATTTTCATTTTACTATACAGTATTTGTGTATTTTATTTGTTTTCATGTTTTAATTTATTAGGGTAGTTAAATGTATTATTTTTAGCTTAAATTATGTGTATTTTCTGTTTTAAGTTTATCAAAATGGCTATTCTTTAGAATCTGGGAATGGACTAATTCACTTTCCATTATTTCTGATGGGAAAAATCAATTTGAACTTTAAACAAGTCAGAGTTCAAATGGCCTCCTGGAAATGATTAAATTCAAAGTATAAGGAATCACTATACTCAAAAACTCATCCTTTTACTTTCATATCTTTTAAACTGTTTATTTTATTATAAATGTTATAATTTTTAAATTAATAACTAAAAACTTTAAGTTATTAATTTAATTTCTGAATTAAGTGAGTGTTTTATTCTTAATATTTAACAGATATAATTATTTTAATAATAACTGCTTGAAGAAACTTTTAAAGAATAAAAATATTTAAAAGATTTTGAAAAATTTCTCATTACACTGGACAACAATGATTTTGTTTCATGCTCAAAATTAGCATATTCTTATGTATTTTCATCTGCTGAATTCAAAAATCACTATAAAAATGACCAATTAGCTCTTGCTTTGGAGCAGTGGTTTCCAACCAGTGGTCTGCAAGAGCTAAAATATGGTCCGCAAAAGATTTAAAACTTTTATTCATTTTAAATTATAATTTAAAATGATTGACGTAATCTAAATAATACAAAATATATGAGAAAGGTTTTATAGTAAAATTTATAAAAAAAATGTTTCATTACAAAATAGTGCATCTTCAATTATTTCAAATTTTTGTTGGTGTTTTTTCTGTAAAACTCCTCAGATCAGCATATAATAAAACTCCACTCTATTATAGAATATATATTTATGCAAACATGACAGCCCTCCTTGACTCAATCAATTATGCTGAGCACAAGTGGAAAATATGTGATCTAAAAGTCATCGCTGTACTCTTAGGAATGCATACTGGGGTACACTAAATAATGTTGCTTTTTATGTATGTGGGACAGTAGGGATAGGAAATCACATTTACATTCAAGTGGACTGGCCTGCAAGAAATCTTGACTCTACTAAGAAAAATATCGTTGCCAAGCCTCTTGTGGACCCAAAAGATGTTCTTCTTCCACCCCTTCATATCAAGCTGGGTTTAATGAAAACTTTTGTCAAAGGTTCATACCTTTGACAAAAGGCATTTAAGTACTTAAGAGACAAATTTCCTAGATTGAGTAATGCAAAGGTTAAGTAAGGTATTTTTGTTGGGCCACAAATTCGAAAACTTGTAAAGGATCCCACGTTTGACAAAGTTTTGGACGGAAAAGAAAAAGAAGCTTGGGAAGCCTTAAAGGGAGTTATTCATGGATTCTTAGGCAACAAAAGAAACGATAATTACTCTCAGTTGGTGACAATACTTCTGGAAAAATATCATTAACTTGGATGCAACATGTCCCTCAAAATCCATTTTCTCCATTCCCACCTAGATTTTTTCCCTCCTAGTTGTGGAGCTGTCAGTGATGAACATGGGGAAAGATTCCACCAGGATATTTCTGTATTGGAACAAAGATATCAGGACCATTGGAATGAAGCAATGCTTGCGGATTACTGTTGGTCTGTGTGTAGGGATGCACCAGAACTCACAAGAGGCAAGCCAAAGGAAAACGATCTCATGAAGTCACTACATGATTCGCTTTACACCGAACCACCTGCTAGGTATTCTTCTATTAATTTAGAACTCTTAGAATGTTAGTGTAATTTTAAAAAAATTCAAAAGCACTTTCAATGTTGTTAGCATATGTAATTAAAATGTATTGTTTTCTCTTATGCTGTTAAAATCACCTATTGTATACCACAAAAACTACAGCTAATAAAAATTTTTCTTTGTCATATTCAATTTTCTCACCCCAAAATTAGTAAGATTTCACTCATGAAATAAAGGAAACATCCAAAAACATTTTTTTTTGTTGTCCAGTGTTATTGACAAATGCATTGTATTTAAAAAGTCAAACTATCATTTTTGTAATAAATTTATTTAAATTTTAATTTAGTTTAACACTAAAATGCTCTCAGGACAAGTGAAAATAATATTTACCACTATTTGCCCATGCAAATCTTTATTAGGAGGCTCTACAGTTAAAAGTTCTTCAAACTGATCCATTATCTGCAAAAATTAAATATATAAATTAATGAAATTAATTTAAAATATATGATCTCCCCTCAAATTAGTACAGTAGACCCCGCTATAACACAGGTTCATATAACACGGTAAAATGTCATCGCCGACTCATGTCACGACAGGATTGGTCAAATCTGGACCAATAGCGGATATTGCACAAACCGTTGAGTTTAAATGAGCAGCAGACCTACTAAAAACCATTTATTATTTAACAGCCATAAAAATTATATTTATATTAATGATGTCTCCACAGTTCAGCGAATTTTTCACAGAAAAATAACTTATCAGGAAATACGCACCCACTGTTCAATGAGCGCTCCGCGATGAAAACAAGCTTAAGCAATGGCATCGTCAAACAGTGCACACTCGATAAGTAATCCTACAATTTTTTGTTTATAGCATAGTTTATGTGGATTATTCCCAAAAAATTATATGTGTTTTGAAAATGTTGAGTCAAATTAGTCTAGAATTGGTTAATTTTGTGGAAGAAAACCTTTCAAACAGCCGTAGCCGCTAAACTGCATTTGTGCCGGGCTGTGATTGGCTCATATATTTAAGTGACACAGGAATTCATATAACACAGAATGTATCTACCGTGTTATAGGGGGGATCTACTGTATTTAGTGTCTTTCCCTGTACATCATACTTTTCCATTAGCAATGGAGTCATGCAGATCATCTATCTAACTCCTTTCAGAGGAAACTTTTTTAATTGAAATAACATGACTTTTGGATTTGCATAAGAAGTTCATATATATAGATATATAAGAAGTCATATATATAGATATATAAGAAGTTCATATATAGTTAATCGGGACCTCCTGCCCCTACACTTTCCATATCTGATCTTAAATTTCATTTACCTAACACTGTTCTCAAGATTAAGGAAAGACAGACAGAAAGATGGACAACAGTGAAAATTTATAGGTCTACAATTTTTTCAAATTGCAGCCCAATTATATGTATAGCAAATACATAATAAAAATATGGTTATTTTATTCTTACATATTTAATGCAGAATAAACATGATTTTAATATGATAAAATATTTTAAATGTAGCTGAGTATTGAAAATGAAATATATTCAACAAATTTTGATTCTGTTGGATTATACTGATAATGGAATATTTGTTGAAGAAAATGAGATCTTTTTATAATTTTCTTGCAATAGATTAGTTACCTTAAGGTACATAGTATGTTATAGTTATGATAGTTATACATAACACAACTATTACAGACATTTTGTTGCAATCAAAAACATGCAGATGAGATTTGTCAGCAATTCAGATGTTTATACAATGCATTGCAATGTGATTTGTAAATCATTCTGAGCATGCACAAAAGCATTCATTTCTCTCAAGAGTGATGAGATTGCATTTTTAACATGTGATTTTGATCTTGTTGTTCATTGGCTTGATGATTGCAACTCATTGAATCAGGTTGCCAACAAGTCAAAGAGTTTGTTCAAACAACACAAATCTGCATATATTCTTATTTTGAATAACAAAATGTCGGCAGTAGTTGTATCATGTAAACTAGTCTTTATGAAGTAATCATCTAATTTATATAATTTTTCATTGTGGTCATGTTCATTTGTGCAATATTTTATTACTTTGTACAAGTTTTCCATTATTATCATGAATTCAATTATTGTACAGTATTCAGTTTTTTAATTCATTCATTAGACTTTCTGTAGTTACAACATGATTATTATGCTTTGATAGCTATCAAACTTTATGTAAATAATCTTCATTTCAGCCATTGTATTTGTCTCTCATTTTTGCTGGGTCATGAATATACTATAATGTTAATTCATAAGCCATCAGCAAATCGTGACATTTTGAAATAGTATAGAATTCAAACAAGATTTTACTTAACTGTTTGCAATACTAAGAAAATTATTTTTTAGATAACTAACTCATTTGTACAATAAAGAATCTAAATGTTTATTGAAACTGTTTCTTTTGTTAAACTGAAGAATTATTATAAGATGTTATAATAATAATCCAATTTTAATAAACAACTTCTCTAATCTAATACAGGTATGCACTGCTTAACAATGGAAATATATTCTGAGAAATACATCATTAAGTGATCATCCTAAGATGGCTCCACACACTTGGTATTTGCTGATCACCAAATAATTGCCTTTCACCACAATATTTGCCAAACTGTTTTTTGTATGGTAAGCACATATATACACACACATGATTATTTGAAATGATTATTTGAAGAACACCACTTCATTGTGGGAATTATGAATATCAATCAATCAATCATTTATTTGTTGTGGCTTTTGCCTTTACAAAGGGGTTACAAAATTCGTAGCAACATTATTAAATACAAACATTGTTACACATAATTGTAAAAGATTATAAGTAAAATAACTTAAATTAGTAGGGCTATGTTAACATGTTCAATGAATAACAGAAAAATTTATAAATTTTATATAACATTACAGAACATATAAATTATCATTGTATAAACAAAACATATTAAAGTCAATTGTCAAAAAAGTATCCTTTAAGTGTTCAGTAAATTCACAATATACAAATAGATGATTCTTAGCATTTTCAAAAAATCTATTACTTAGTGGGCAATTAGAGTAAGCTGATATATTTATTCTATGCCCATTTAATACAATAGTATAGTCATTAAGTCATAATTGTATTATTAAAGATTTAATTTTGTAATTTAAGTTTGATAACAGATAATATTGAGATATCCTTGGGAATGATAGAGAAGTTTAAAAAAAAATTACACTTTTGCTCAATATAAAGAATATCTTGGGCCCAATATTTATCTTTTTAATGACTTGAAAAGTTCAGCTAAAAAGAGTTTTTTATCAGGAAATTGAGCATAGTAAGCAATTGAATAACCTAAATCAGAAAAAAAACATTCAATTAAAGAAGGCCAAGTTACAACCAAAGAATTACTACCTATTAGTTTCAATTTATTATAGACCAACTTTCTAAGATCAAATTCTGGTAACACTAAAATTTTAAACCAGTATTAAAAATGGTCAATGCTAAATGTATAGCCCAGGGGTGGGCAAGAAAAATTTCAATGGGAGTCAAAATGTCGGTTTTGCAAATTGCATGAGAGCCGCAGTTCTGTACTTTTTTTATTCTGTACCACAGTTCTGTACCACAATTTTACTATGTAATATAAATATAATATAAAACAAATATTGAATTTTTTAATAAACATACTTTCACAAAAGTGTGGAAATAAAATTGTAAAAATAATAATAAAAAGCAGAAATTAACACTTTCAGCAAGAGCCGCATGTAACTCAAAAAGAGCCACATTTGCCCATGTCTGGTATAGCCATTGGCGGTCAACCCAATTCAAATCTTTAAACAGTTCCAGGCACCGAACAATTAATATGAAATATCAACCTGATAAATCTCAGTTGCATCTTCTATAGTTTATTGACAAGAGATGGTCCCCAAATAGAAACATAAATCTCAAACTTGAGCGTATCAAGGAATCAATCAAAAGTATGACTTAATAGAAGACTGCTTCATTCTAACCATGAGCTTTATTAAATTAGCAAGATGAAATTTATATTTCAAAAACAATTTATCTAGGTGAAAAGAAAAAGAATCCTTTGGAGTAAAATAGATACCCAAATATTTATAAGACGAGATGACTTCTAACTCAGAGTTAGATAAAATAAAATTTATCAGCTTTTCCCAATCTGCCCCCTCTCCAAAAACCATTACTTTGGATTTAGCCTCATTAATTAAGTTTATTAGACTTACAATAATCCTGTAGAAGGTTAAGTTTCCTCTGAAGGCCTGTAGGTGAACATGAAAATATTACAATATCATCGGCAAACAAAACACAGTTCAGTTCTACCTCCAGTGATATAGATATACCCATAGTATTATGACTGAAAAAAGTCTAGGAGATCATTAACAAATAAGTTAAACAAAAAGGGTTAAGTTGTTCACCTTGTGGAAGACCTTTATTAGCAATTACAGCTTCTAAAACATGATTAACTTCAATTTGTCTTATAAGATTAATAAAAGAAGAAATACCTATCTAAGAAAGCTTCAACCATAAAATATCATGATCTATTGTATCAAACCCTTGACAAATCAATGAATCCAACATATAATTTATCACATTTCTTAATTAAAACTAATCGCATAATTCCAAGAAAAAGGAATAAACTGTATCCAACACCTCTAATCGCTACAGAAGCACCCTGACTAAAAAAAATAACATGAGACCACTCAACCAAAGTCTCAAATGATTAACCAATAACATAAAAAAAATTTTCCTAATTACTCTGATTAGCGATATTGGACAATAATTCAGAGGATCAGAATGGTTACTCTTCTTGTATATCATTTTTAAGAAAATATTCTTCCAAATAGTAGGAAAAGAATAATTAGTTTTAAAATTATAAAATAAAAGTAACGAATTGTTTATAACATTAATCGGGAGAAATTTAATCATCTCAGCCTTATTAGCATCTAAGCCAGGGGCTTTATTATTTTTTAAAGAATGCACTACAAATTGTAATTCATCAAAAGAAAAATTTTCGTCAAGTAATGGATCCATATTGTCATCAGTACAAATGGACAGTACAGCCAAAGATGATCCAGAGAAATAGATTTTCAAATAATCCGACCAATCACAAATAGGAATGTTATTATATGCAAGTTTGTTAGATCTAAATTTATTAACAATCTTTCCAAAATTCAGCAGAGTTTTTAATTTGCAATATCTGAAAGTTAATCTTATTCCAAAACAATTTCTTTTTGGCCTTACAGAGGGATTTAAAATTTTTATTTAAGTTAGAATAAGTAATAAATTGTTGCTTAGATCTTGATTGCCTAAATGATCGCAGAGCATGATTTTTCTCTCTTTTCAATCATAAACAATCAATGTCAACCAATACTTCACAAAGTTTCTTGAACAATCATATTTGACATACATACCACTTTGAACTATGGATTCAAAAATCATGTCAACAAAGGACGAATAAAAGAAGAAAGAACCAAAAAGAATCTGCTTTTAAAATCTGCATATCTCTTGGTAACATTATACAAATACTTGTCTACACATGAAGGCTTCCACACATAATGACAAATTTCAATAGTCGATTCCTTACTAAGAGAAAGAGATTCAAACCAGAAAGCAATAAAAACTGGGAGATGGTCATAATCAAATTTATTCAAAACCTTAAAGTCCACTATATTATCAACTAATTCCAAGTTTGTAGCTATCAATAACTGATGCACATGGAGGAAATAAACATAAAATTAGCAGGTAAATCGATAACAAATTGACCATTTAAAAGAATCAAACCAAAAGATTTAACTAAATTCAAAAAGTTCCTTCCCCTGTAGTTAAAGATCACATCTTTAGACTCTCTATGATTATAAAAATTTAAATTAGGACCTGTATATAATGTATCTATTTCGGAATCAATTCTAGCATTAGAATCACCGAGAATCAAAATGTCATCATCTTCCTTAAAATCAAGAATCAATCTATTAAGATAATCAATGAATCATGTTTATTTATAGAAATATATACCAAGACAATTAGAAGTTTAGAACAATCATTAAACAAAAGTTTATCAAATGTAAGTTTAGCAATAACAAAATTATTGGAAAGATGACAAATTTCCAACTTACCAAGCTTTCAAGAAACTATTAAGAACAAACCACCAGATAGTCTTCCACTCCCTCGGATTTGTGAATGAAAGATTCAGTAAAATAAAACTGAGAATCTAACATTGAAAGAAGGGTTTTCATCAAAGATATCATCCATGTTTTGGTTATACCAATAATATGATATGAAAAGACAAAATCAACAAAACTCATATCAACAAAATTAGTGTATAATACACCTTGACCATTCCAAGATAAAACCTTTAATGTAAAAAAATCTTCTGAACAAGGGATAACAGGCAAAGTTTTTAGTTTTTGTCCATTTGACAAGCCACCAACTTCCCTGGTAATAAAAAAGGTTCAATCTTCATCAACTTGCCATTCAATAAGTCAAACATAAAATTATCTCCATCAATTGTTAAGCAATCAGTTCTCATGAACACAGATTTACCTGTCACCTTAGCTTCTCGATAAAAAGGAAGGTTCTTTTTCTGAATTCTCAATCTCCAAAGTAAATCGTCAAATACCTTACCCTAGAACATTTATCCCTCATTCAAATGATGTGTTCATTTTGGTAAATCAGTTTTTTTATTGAAAACATCATCAAGTTCAGTGACTATCAAATTATTTTTTGAAACTATTTTAAGAGCTTTCACTAAAATAGAGTCACCATTGGGTCTTTACACAGATGACAGAATGTCAAAAACCAAAGACAGAATTTCCGATGAATTACCCTCCAATCCAGCGATAACAATATTACTTTGCTGACACTCATTATCTGATCAATCCAAGAGATAAAAAATAAGAAGTCTGAGTAGTAGAAAACACATTTGAGTTAGACAGTTCTTCCACCTTCTTCTCCACATTAATGAGACAATGTTCAAAGTCTTTATGTAAATTTGCCAGCCAATCAAATTTAGTAGCCAAATCCTTGAGTTTAGTCAAAATGCCGTCAAATCTCTCCTCCAAAAAGAAAAATAAATTTTGAGGTACATTAGTAGATGAGGCCAATAGAGGAAAAAACAATTAGTCATTGGAATTTTAGAGCCGGTTCACTAGGAGATCTTGTCGTTTTCCAACAGACTATATGGATGACTTTGAAAGAGGGGAGGAAGGAGGTGTCCGAGACATCAGGCCAAGATTAGATTCCATGCAACCAATTAGTAATAAAGAACGTAGTAATAAATATATGTCAAAATTTTTAGAAAAACTGAAGTAAAGATACACACAAAAATTGACACAAATCATATCCAAAGTGTTAGAGTTCATTATTGACTAGCGCACTCAAAAACCCACCAACACTGATGACATTGCATGCACCCTTCCCAGGAATTATGAATATTTGTCTGAGATTTGTTCCTTTCATTCAGTACACTATACTGACAAGGAGTGGGAAATGATGAATACTGAATATTTGTCAAACAAAATCACAAGTAAATTGTTTACAAAACTTGGTATAGGCAAAATGTTTGCTCAGCATTTGGAAAATACCAAATGTATAGAACTGTCTTTAAAGTGTACTTAGACAAATTTATATGGTAAGGTTATTTATATAGGTTACATGTAACATAACAGTAAGTATTTATGTATCTAAGCATAGCCAAGTAGAAAATGTACAAATTTTTCAGCTCCATTATAATCTTATAGAATCTCTGTCATATATGCATTCTGCCAATGATATAAGCCAAATATCATTCAGCAGTACATACCTGTATCAATAAATTCAATTATAATCAACATCAACTATATAAAATTTTAAATTAATATTTTCTTTGATCAACATTTAATAGTTCTAAATAATTTAAATGTATTAAAATAATATAGAATATTCCTGAAGAAACTTTGTTATTACTTATGTAGCTTATCTGATTAAATTTTTATCAATTCTTATATTAACATGAGTCATTTTTGTAATATATCAGACTATACAGAATGAAATAATTTTTTCATATTTTTATTGTTTTTTTTTCATTTATAAATTGGTTTATTTTTTAAATATATATATAGAACCTCTATATATATATATATTTACCTAAAAACTAATATAAAAAAATTTTTGTTTCTTGGGACCAATCATCTCTAGCCTTAAAAAACTAAGGCTTGACTGTAAAATTAATTTTTTTTAAATATAAAAGAATAAATAATATTTACCTTTGCACCAAGACTATTGTCGCTGTTAATTGTTTCTAAAAATCCACTATATAACTCCTAAATGAAAAATAATTTAGTACAGTTAGGCAAATTACATTCAGAAGTTTATGTTATGAAATATCTTAATTATATTTGTTATAAGTATAATTATTGTTAATTAGAAATTATTAAATATACTAAATTATCAAAAACATATCTCAACTTTTTATTTGAATCTGTTCTATATGATTTTTATTATGCACTATTTACAACATGATAAACATTTTATTCAATTAAAGACTTTAGTAAATGATTTTACATGAACTTAAATAATTTGAAAAACTTCATCTGTAGAGGTATATTGAGATATAAGTAAAGAATAATTCTATCTGTAAAGATGATTAATTTAAAAACAATTCTTGTTTTTAAATAAGTGGAATTTACTTTTGAATAAAATAAAGACAAAGATCATCAAAGTGCTTACTTATATATATATATAATCAAATTTAATGAATAAATCAAATAAGATACATCAGGCATGACCAATGAATCAATCAGCATCATATCTGGTCAATCATGAATATGGCCTTTGAAAACATGAAAAATGTTTTAATTTTTATGAGAATGTAAATTCCAAATTTTCCACCATGAAATCTTTTGACTATTGCTATGACTTGTGAATATATTGTGCAATCATCTTTGTTTCTGATTACAAAACAGTAAAAAAAAAAACAGATACTAAATGAAAAATACGAGGAAACAGAAGTTTTCAAAATTGCTTTGTTGTGTCCTAAATAATTTCAGTTATATGCAGAACAAGTGTCAAAAGAAAGTGAAACTTATGCATTATAGAATAAATGGAAATAAAATTTGTTCTGTTTTGGTGCTGATAAATGCTGCTGTTACCATGACACTAATAAGCAAACTAAAGAGGTAACATGGAATATCAATTGCCTTGCAATAAATGAATATAATTATGTTTTGTATTATAATTTTACTAAATCAGATTAATCAACTTTTTATAAAAGAATAAAAATATGATAGTACTGGTAACCCCGTATAATACAGATTCACTCTAACATGGTTAGAGAATTGAGTAAAGCCTTTGTACAACATGAAATGTAATAAATTTTCACATACTTAAGTACTAATAGTTCACGAAAATTATTATTTTCATGAACTATTAGTACTTAAGTACGTGAATTTTCTTTTCCTGCCTTCTGTCGATACATGTGGTCCTCCTTGAAACTTGTTTCAGTGTTGCCAGATCGCAACATTTCTGATTTTGGTGTTGCCAGATGTTTTTCCCTTATTCTCTACTTGCTTTATTCTTCATAAGTACTTAGCACCATATAAGGAAATTTATAAAGATCTTTTAACTAAAAGCAAGCAATCTAAAATAGCACATTTTTTGCAAAAGGTAGAGCATGGATCTGAAGATAATACAGAAAAATGCTCAGAGGATAATAATATCTTGCCAAAAAGAAAATGTCCTCAATTAATAGTGCTTAGTGATGAAGAAGAAAGCATTGTTTAATTTATATTAATATGAATCATTTAAGAAAATTTTAATAAAGATATTTATCTGTGATCAATAGGATGACTATCACGCCAAAATACTGTATAATAAAATAAAATGGAGAAGACACTGAGGTTGGCGTTACATGTATGTTTTTTATCGCAAACACTTTCGACAAACTTATAGTCGTCGTCATCAGGCGAATACAGAGATTTACCGAAAAATAAAACGGAAAGAATCTGATATAGAATAGAATGCATAAAATTTTAGGTTGAAACTTTTATCAAAGCCATTAAGAACACAAAACAAATATTCAAATATAATTTTAAAACCGAAAGAGCAGTAAGCTCCGTGATGTGCCAGTTGGCACATGTGCAGAACCAGGCTCATGCTATACATATACTGGAGAATGCTAATATTTGCTTAAACGCTTGTATAGCGTAACCCATACACTGGGCAGATCGAGCGTTGGGGTGTTGCACATGTCCAAGGTGGTAATAAGGAGAGATTCCCATATGAAAACGATTTTTCGATCCTTACAGCTCTTGAGCATAACTGCTTGGGACCATAGCTGGTTGTAACCATGCTCAAGTACCTTTCTTGCGAGCTCGGTGGTGTGCCTACCCCTCACAACACCATCTTGGTGATCTTCAAGGCAGCTGGCAAGCATTCTAGTAGTGGCCCTGATATATCTTATGTTTACTCCTGTTGCAAGATTTTCCAAAGGTACAACATAGACCCCCCAACTTCTCAAGAGTGGAAAATTTGTCTCTATCGTTACAAATAAGTTTGTGTAGGTTTGGAAGTAGGGTTAGTGGTAGTACAAGATTGCGCTGCTTGAAGATTCTGCAGGTGCGTATAGAGAGGGGTCCAAGGTATGGCAATGATGTTTGTACCATCAAAAACTCCCTCTTACAGCATAATGTAGTGCTTTCTTTACCCTATTGAGCACATGCATAAATTTTGCATGTGAAAAGCCAGCAGTGCATACTGCCAAACTGATGTTGTCTAACTTGATGTTTACCAGCTCTTGCGTAGTGGATAGTAAGTAAGCCCTTCTGACAAGGGAGGCAATGGCAGCATTAACATATCAAGAAGGCTGAAAGGCCTCTGCTGGTATAATGTGCAGAGCTATGCTAGATTTGTGAAGAACAGAGAATTGTGGTCCTTCCGAAGATTTACGTATACACAGATCTAAGAACGTTATTGCCGCATCGCTTTCTTTCTCTCAAGTGAAACTGATGGAAGGATATATGCTTGAGAGTTGTTGCATAAAGATGAGGAACATCTCATCTGTGTTTCCCACACTATGAGGATGTCGTCAACATAATGCAAATACAACCTCAGGTAGTGGATGGCAAGCAGGGAATTGAATGTTCTGTGCTCAATCTCTCTCATAATCTTAAAATAATTAAGATAAATATCTTAATTATGAAAATATAATAGCATGCTTTTTAATTTTTGGAACCTAACCCCCTTTTCGTACTAGTGCTTTGTTTCATATAACACGGATTCGCATAACACAGCAATTTTTGAAACATAACTCCCATGTTATATGGGGGTTACCTGTAGTTCATTGGTACTTTTAACTCCTGAAAGTTAAAAGTACCAATGAACTGAGGTATATCTTCAATAGTTCAAATGCTTTTACATGAAAATATAATATTCAAACTAAAATTAAATTATCTTTATTCAAATAATTAAATTTCTTATTTTAAATAAAGATAACTTTTTAAAATTATAATTTAAAATCAGAAACTAAAAAACATTTTTTTCTTACCTTATAAATATGAGAGCTATCTTGGCAGTAGCATAAAATGTGTTTTAAACATAAAAGAATGTACAATCTTTCGTTGTAATAAAAATTCCATATCTGTTTAAAATACAATAAATAATTGCCATTTATAAAATAAACATATGCATAATTCAAGCAAATGGCTTTAATTTATAAATATTTCACCTCTAAAAGCAACGATTGTAAATGTCGTTCACTGCTAAAAATCACCTAAAAATAAAAACATTAAGTTATTCTGTTTTCTTCTGTGTTAAAATTATTTGATACTGTACTTTGAATTGTTGACACTACAATGCTAACACTAACAAAGTCAATTAGGCTTTATGCCGTTCAAATTATTATTATTAAGTACTGCACAATTAGCACCATTTGTCAGTAGTAAGATTTTTTAGAGTGTAGCCTGACATCTGAATATGCTTATTACACTCAGCACCTAGCAATCACTTAAAATTAGAAGTTAGAATGTTTTTTTCAGGCATTACAACAAGAACAGAAGTGTCAACAATTAAAGTAAAATTTATTCCATATTGGTGAATTAAAAAAAAACTGGAATCAAATGTCAATTAAAGATTCTAACTGTTTATTTTATTCAAGTAATGTTTATTTGAATGCAAGTCTAATTTCATGTAAATATGGAACAAAGAAAGAAAAATGTTCAAAAGAATATATTTTATTAATAACATTTCATTTTAGAAGCCGATTTATAATAGAAAGCAAAGAAATGAGATAAAAATACAGTCAAACCTCAATTTACAAACTTAATTCGTCCGTAGAAGTTATTAAACCGATTTGTTCTTAAACTAAAACAAATTTTCCCATAAGGAACAATATGAAATAGATTAATCCATTCCCATCCCCAAAACCTTACTTTTTTATCTTTTTAGCTGTATTTCATCCATAAAAATGCCTACAAATGCAATATAATATTATCTATATCTATTCTATATGTATATTAAAAGCAATATGTTCCATCACCACCAACCAAACCAATACTTTACAAAGAAGTGCTATAAATAAAGATTCAAATATGACTGTCTGCATGAAATATAACTAAATCTAGCCAAATTCTTAAATGCCATTTATATTACGTGATTGTCAATTAACAGGGTTTTTAATAAATAGATTTAAATTCAACTATGGCAGGTACCAAACGTCAGAAATATTATCTTTCCTGCATGCTTATTGAAATGTAATTTAAATAGCAACATCATCAATGATTCATATCATAATGCAAAAATGATCTTGGCACAACTAACTTCTGAATCAGAAGTCCTGTCACTGATTGGTCGGGCTGTCAACTTTCTTTCACAAAGGAAGTATAAAAAGTTGCCTATCGGTGAATGCTCTACCAAGCTTGTTCAGAAACCAAGTTATCGTGTGCCAACTGGAGCAAATATAGCATTCAAAATTTTGTTTGTAAACTGGACTGTTCGTAAATGGGTGTTCATAACCAGAGGTTTGACTGTAATTCAAACATTTTCAAAAATTAAGAGAGAAAACAGATCTTTATCGTAGAAACATATATTAAAAACAGTTGTTAACTGAGTAGTTTATATATGCTAAAGATGGTCAAATGTTCAGATAAAATGTGTCTCGATGAAAATATTGTCATCTGAATTAAGCCATTATTTGATTTACTTATTTATTATTAAGATGTCAACTTCTGTGAACATTTGTATAAAATGACCATAATATATAAAGCAGTGGGTTCTCAACTTCTGAGGCCATGGAACACCATTTACATACTTTTTATTATATGGAACATTAGCATCAACATATTCAAAAATTGAAAAGCAATCACATATTCTCACAAAACAATAAAGTTATTGAATAAAATAGTAAACACAAAATTATCTATGTATGTGTTACCGCTAAAGCTCGAAATCCGTTAATGTGTACATTACCTAGCTAATCTGCAGATTAACTAGGGTGATCCGTTAAAGCTGCGAAAATTGTTCAATTTCTCAAATTACCTAGGTAATTTGCAGAGTATCTAGGTAATCTGCACATTAACGGCTTCCGTATCGTTAAAGTTCAAAAGTTTGTTTCTTTCACTTCCTTTCCCCACTCCTTCTTTTTACGTAGATAAATTTAAATCCTAGAATGCAAGCAAGCACCGAATTGGTGAGTAAAATCAAGAAAAGATTCTTCGCAAACCTCTTTAGCGAAGATTTAAAATATAATACGTAGTGTTTTAATAACAAACCAAAGTATGATTCCATAATTGAAGATGTAAAGCAAATAAAAGTTTCCAAGAAGAAAGAATCATCTCGAGATTATCAAATAATTCAAAGGTGTGATGTGTTGACTGTACGAGGCTGTGAAAAACTCATTGAGCCGTTGTCAGATGCGCGAGAAAGGTTTGAAAAAGTTTGTCCATGCCGGAGAATTGTTTGACATTCGATAAAAACTGAAGAAGACCTTGAAAAATTAGAAGATTCACAAGAGACTGTGATTATGAGATCACAGTCAAATCTTACTCAAGAGGACATTCCGTTATCCCCCGCTTCTACAGAATCACCTATAGAAATACAAGAATTTACCGATAGTAATCTTAAACTGCCTTCTATACCGTTGATTGATGATGCAGTCACGAAGAATATTCAGTTACCCTGCACCTCCAAGGAATCGCCTCTGCAAGTTGAAGAAGTCATCACTGAGTTACTCTCAACTTCAGCAGAATCGCCATCACAGTTTCGTACGGAGCCTGTAAAGAGCACTATACAAGACATAGTCTGTATTGTTTGCTCAAAAGCAGCATCAAGTGCTCACAAGTGTAAATCGTGTAATATGTTTGTTCACGCAGTTTGTGGTGAAGTAGATCCTAAAGAGGAAGGGTATGGTAAGAATGTATTGTGCATCATCTGTAAAAAGAATATGGATCAGAAAATACAGCGTGATGAAGCCAAGAAATGTTTAGAAAAGCAAGCAAAGAAAATGTTAGCAGTTTCTAATGCAAAGCACCCAAACGTCGATGAAGGTTTCGCTGTGAGAATTAAAGTACCCGAAGAAGACAGAGCAAAAACTGATGCACGTTCAATTTTAGCTGTGGTTCTTAGTAAAACAGAGGATGGCTTTTATAAACTTGATACTAAAACAGGTATTTTAAAACAATTGTATGCAAAATCTGAATTCAGTGTTTGCAAAGAGAGATTTTTAACGAAAGAAGATGGATGTCCCTGCTGTAGAAATATCTTTACGTCAAACAGCAATAAAACAATCCCTTGGTACTGGGCAGGGTTTCAGAAAATGTGACTGCAAATCTAAATGTACCACAAATAGGCGTGCTTGTCGCAAAAACCAATTGCTACGTAATTCAAAGTGTCACCAATCTTTAGATTGCACTAATAAGTAAGTACAATTTTATCATATGTTTTGCAAATTCATTTCCCTAATTGTAGTAATATTTTAAACCGTTTGATTTTTGTATTAAAGTTTTTTTAATTGATTGATGATTGATTCAATCAACTAATTTGTTGATTGTATTAACTTGATTCTTTAGATATTGAAAATTAAATAAATAACATTATGTTAATTTAAGCGTACAGAAATGTTGCTGTTGTTCCAGCAAAAATCTTATTTTCACTTTACCGAGTGCCTAGTAGGTAATTTGCAGATTACCTAGATAATCTGAACATTACCTAGGTAATTTGAAAAATGGAATAATTTTCGCAGCTTTAACGGATCACCCTAGTTAATCTGCAGATTAGCTAGGTATTGCACACATTAACGGATTTCGAGCTTTAGCGGTAACATATAAAGTAATATGTTGCAATGTACTGAAATAAATTTTTTATAAAAATTTTAAATTTTTTTTTTTTTTTTTTGCAGAACACTTAGAGCAAGTTTGCTGAACACATGCTGAGAATTACTGAGAAGATATAAAAATTAATAATAACCAAAAATCCATCTAAATATTCCTTAACTCTTTAATGGAGTGAGTTTAGAGTTCTCCCCAAGAATGAGTGAGGTTTTGAAAAAAGTTATCTCATTTTCCAATTCATATTTTTTAATAAAGTAGGCAACATTTTCTTCTGATTTGATTGTGTTGAATAACTCCAACAATTCAAAATGAAACAGCAAGTGGGAATGACTACTAGATGCCATGTTGTCTTCATGCTAAAAAATCCATTGAAAAAATCTCACAAAACTTACAAAAACACCATGTAAAAAATAATTTTCTCAACCTGTCAATAGATTTCACTAACTGTCTGTAAAGTTTTGTGTTTGCTCATAAACTTACACCAACTTGAAGGTGTACAAGCAGCCTGCAAAACAAACTTGAAAAATATATACTGTACATGCTTACTCTGTAGAATTCACTATATATATCATGTATATTTACAGAAGTACTCATCAAAGACTTAATTTACTTTATAATCAATTTTCTTCCTATTCTATATTAAACAAATCAAAATTCATTTATATGTTTATAGTATAAACAAATTCCTAATATTCATACAATTAATTAAAATTTGATTTACCTTGATATTATTTTGGGTGCCTTTGTACTCATACAGTAAATAAGAACAAAACAATTCATAGCATTGAAGTTCATCAATTTGCTGAAAAATAAAAGAACTTTTAATATTTGTAATGTTGTTATCACAGTAAAAAGAACAGTATTTGACACAAAGCAATCCAGAAAGAACTTACAAACTATAAATGCAATTTTCTTAATAAAATGAGTATAATTTTGAAATAACCAAGCTACAATGACTTCAATGTATCAGAAAAGATTTAAGAATTTAAAATTTAAATACTCACTTGTTCTAGAGAAAACTTTATTTAATAAAGTTATATATTTATGTGAAATGCGACCAAACAGATATCTGCCAACTTTAAATGCAATTTTATATATACATACACATAGATACCGTGTTTCCCCGAAAATAAGACATCCGCAGAAAGTAAGACCTAGCACCTGTTTTGCTGAATTGCGAAATATAAGACCTCCCCCTGAAAGTAAGACCTAGCGAAGTTTTTTTTAGTCGTAACGGTCATCGAGAGATGCTTGAAAGTGGCCGTTGGCTTTTTGAAAGTACAGCCACTGATTGGTCAGCAGACAATTACGCCACACGGCATGATTTGCATAAGACTATGGCTTGGGAATCACAGATTTGCATAACGTTACAGCTAGTGATGGCTAATTGGTCGGCCAGGAATCACGCCACATGACATTTGCATAGTGCTATTGTTCAGTAAGCACTAATTGGTCATCGAGTCTGATGTTGACGCTATAAGAAGGCGACAGTTCGACACACCGGATATATGTCACTCTCGTCTAAGTTCGACTTGGGAATTTTTTTGTTCAATAATAAATGTGAATTCTTCTTCCTGGAAAAAATAAGACATTCCCTGAAAATAAGACCTAGCGCATTTTTCAGAGCAAAAATTAATATAAGACACTGTCTTATTTTCGGGGAAACACGGTATATAGATGGCCAAGGTAGTTAAGGTCTACTACTCTGGCCCAGAATCAAATCCAGACAAGCAATTCCAGGAATAGTTAAAGAGTAAACTGCCCCATGTCCTTTCATGGGTGTTTTCAGCTATGTCAGATCTGTTTTTACTAGTCATTCTCATTCTATGCCTGCCCAAACCCAAGATGATCACAGAAGAAGGCCCTTTCTGTGCCCACAGAGAGAAAACAACAAAAAAAGAAACTTTATATATACAAGAAATAAAAAAAAGAAAAGCACTTTTTTGGATAAATTTGGATAGAAGAAACACTCCAGAAGAAAAAATAAATAAGTATAAAAGTGTGTCTCCAGAATTTGTCTTTTTACACAAATCCCAAGAACATAAAGTCATACAGTAGAGTTTACTTTTATTTTGAAGTTCTTCTCAGCCTCATTATGCAAAATCCATTAAAATAATCTCTCTGGCAATGATGCAATATAAAAATATATGATTAATAAATTATCTATGATAAATATAAATTGTACAACCTCTGTTATGTTTCTGAGGTGTGAAAAGAACACATTATAAAGACAGACTATATTCTTGAGGATTTCTTCTATCCTAGTGAATTTTTAATTATATATCCATCCCACATATTTTATTAATAGAACATAAAATTTTAACATTTCTTTTATTGTTTTACAGAGAGAAATTTGTAATGACATTGACACATTATTAAAATTATAATTATTAATTTAATTAAGAGATGGGTGCCTAATGTCTACCTCTAGTAGCAAATTACTTAGTATTAATTATTTAAATTAGCAGAATTATAGCCTGATTATTTAGGCTATCTTTTGATGATGTTTCTATATACATATAGGTTTTGAAATGTTTGTTATACAATACCATACATTGTATATAACTAATGTCATTACAAATTTTTCACTGCACAGTAATTTTTCAGACACTGTGTATATTATTAATACACTACAATGCCAGTGTAATATGTTACAGTCAGCTTATCATTATTGAGAATTTTCAGATTTTTGTTGTCCCCATGATAAAATTAGTATACTTATAATGTTAGTTTTAATAATGTAATTAGTATGCTTATAAGTTAGTTCTAAATTGTTTATCTCTCTAGAACAGTCAAGGTAGAATAGCTTAATGTAATTAGTAATGTGTTTACTGTGTAGTAATGTGTGTACTGTGTATGTATGTTGTTAATTGCAGATTTGAGTCTATTCTGAATCAACAATTTGATTTTTTGAGATTTTAAAATGATTAATTAAATTAAAATCATAATTTAATTATTTTAATTAGCATAAAATGAATAGCTTAGTAAAACAAATTTAGTTATCCTTTAATTTCCATTTAGATATTTAAATAAGAGAAATATAAAAAATTCCTCATCAATTTCAATAATTAAACTGATTATTAATCAATTAATTTACAGTAGAGCATCGATTATCCGAATCAATTGGGGACTGGGGTTGTTCAGAAGATCGATGTTTCGGATAACTGATTATGTACGAAAAAATCTATTAATTTATCCCATCTTGACATTTTTCTCCGTTGCGTGTCGCTTTGCGTTGAATTTTCGTCGATGTTAAGCCTAACAAAAACTATTGTATCGTTAAAAATTATTTTTTTATTTTGTACGAACAAAATAAAGATATTGAAAAATATAAAAACAATAAAAAATTATACTTCAGAAGTTAATTTAGTATCAAAAACGTAAAATATTTGAGTAGCCCAAGACATAGCCAAAGATTGCAGTGCCACAGCACTGGCGAAAATTTAAATTTGCCGACTGGAATTCTTTCGGATGATTGACTTTCGGAAAATCGACGCTCTACTGTATTAACATATTAGAAGGAATTTATAGTTTGAAATTTAAGGAATTTGTAGAAACTTTATCAGTTATCTCAAAGATTACTGATAAAGTTTCTACAAATACATATGAAAATAATTATTATTTCAGAATCACTGTAGCATTAAAACCATGTTCCACACATTTGGTATTTGCCAGTTGCTGAATAATTCCCTATTTGTCCCCTTTGATTCAACACAATATACCGACAAGAAGTTGGAAATGCAAAATACTGAATATTAGTCATGAGTAAATCATCCACACTACTCAGCACTGCCAAATGTTTGCTCAGCATTCAGTAAATACCAAGTGTGGAGTCATCTTAATGCTTCCAAAATATTCTTATAACATTTGTCTATACAGATAATTAAAAAAAAGGACCATACCAAAAAAATATCAAATTATTTTGTTGTTAATATACAGACATTATTAAATCAACTTACCAAAACTTTACTTAATTTCTGGATAAATTCTAACTGAGTTCCTTGAATATTCTGACTTTTTAATTTTTCTAAAGAAGCTGAACTGTAAAAAAAATTATTAAATATATATCAACAAAATATTTATCTTTTTTTGAATGTCTCATAACTAAAAATATATAAATTCAAGTTTGCCATTGAAATTAATTATGTAAAATTTATTAAAAACATTAACATATTAAATAAATATCTGAAGACAAAGTCCTCCCAAAAATGGAACCACCATTGTAGGCTACTGGCTTTTTGGGGGCCAGTAGCCTACAATGAAAGGTCAGTTGCCAAGAATGTATAGTTTAGAATACAAAGATAATAAATGGTGGTTCCGTTTTTCGGAGGACTTTGTCTTCAGATATTTATTTATAATTATTGCCATCGGATGAAAATTTATAATTAACATATTATTTAAACTGTCTAATAAAGTATTTTGATGTATAGTTTATTTCACTATAACTTTAGACTACTGCCAAAGATAAGCAGCCTTTTAACACACATCACAATAGACCAAAGTTAATGTGAACTTTATTATAGTTACATATCATTAAGCAACCTCAAAAATCTCATTAAATATAACAATTCATTCACTTTTAAATAATTTTTATAAGTAAAAATGAGTTCCATGTTTTCTCAATTCTAAAGTGCACCTGTTTTTTATGTAACTGCAACATATGGTATATGTTGCAGTTACATAATATGAATTACTTTTGAATTACAGCAAGCCAAGTAAACAATATCTAGCAGACAGATCATCCGTGAACCAAAGTTTAAGTGGAGAGTTATCCACTATGCTGAAGAACATTTATACAGGTATATATATATGTTTATTACTGAATACATTACCTTTCTGTGGCTGCATGTTTGGGTGACAGATTGCAAACTACATTCATAAATAACTTTTTTAGGTTTTGATGTGTCGAAAATGAGACGTACATTGGAATTCAGAAAACATGATAATGTTAATTACAATGTCATAATATGCATCATAAATTTTAAAAAATAATTAATTTTAAACAAATTAAAATTTAATTCAAATTTCATAAAAATATTGGCTTTCTATTTATGTCAATTAATGTTAGTCCCACCATAAATTGACTTCCTCTTGTTAAATAAAATGAGCATTTTTAAAATCTGTTAATCACTTATTCTAAAAATTTTTAATTTAATTAAATTCTAATCTCATGAATACAATAAAATATAAGTAAAGAATTTCTCAGATTCTTGTTTTCAACATTAAACAATAATCTCATCAACTTCAGTTGAAAATATTAATTTTTGGAAACTCAAATTTTTTCTGCTTGTATACATCTAAAGAGGGCCAATAAAGAAACCAAAAACATTTTTTTTTTTTGGAAATAAGTGCTAGAAGAAGTATTAAAGTGATAAGTAAATATTCACTACAGTCAGCAAAGCAAAATGAATATTTCAAAGCATGAAACTTTATATTTCTCTAATGTACTGCAATGCAATTTTCTGTATGCATTCTGACCTGCTATTCATTCATATATCAATAAGATCATCTTAAATAATGTTTTCCATTAGCACTATTCTTGTTAATAGAAAGTATTAAAATTTTCCAATTTATCATATCCCAATCTGGAATAATATGTTCTTAAATAAATGTATAATAAAAAAGAAATATCATTTACTAGATTTATATATATAAATTTTCTTCTACATCATAGAACTTTCCAAAATTGTTTTTATATATGCAAAACTTTGTAATTGAAGTTTTGCTACATGAAAGTAAATTCTTAATGAGAAATAAGAAATAAAAATATATCCTTTTAAATGAACTATTATATAATGATTAATAAGCTTAATTCAATAGAAACTTGCTAATCTGAATTAATTGAAACCTGAACCTGTAGCCAAAATTCTTTTCTCCAATGCATTTTTTATGTTAACGTGGGTTTCTCAATATACTATAGCTATATGAGCCTACTGTATTACAGCCCACTAGTGGTCAAGAGGTTTTGTTCCCTAAACGTTGGGAGTTCGGTCATGGATTCGCAACTCACCAGGATGGGCTGGCCACATGGAATTTTCCAGGTTTTCTCCACATCTGTAACACCTGAATAAAGGCCAGTTACCCTTAAAAAGACCTCCTGGAAGGCATTTTTTCCCTAGGCAGATCACCAAGTGTTGAATTGCTGTAACTTAACTAAACAAACAAACAAACAAACCCACTGTATTACAAGATAACTGAAACCATTTAGTTTTTTTGACAACTGACAAACTTGGTTCACATATTTGGGGTTTTCAACCTCTTTCCATAAGTGTATCAACTAAAATAATAAATTTTTTATTTATATTGTTAAAATATCACTTTGTGGCAATAATATTACTTACTTTGGCTTTTTATAAAATAAACCACCATACTTGATTCTTTCAATGTTATCCTCAAGTTCAGTTCCAACATATTCCTGAATTACAAAAATATGAAAATTTATCCTACTCATATAGATTCATCAAACATTAAAATATATTACTAAGTTACACTCAAAATGAATTATTAATTGACTTACAAACCATCTTGAACACTTTCCCAAATGTTTCTTGCACTTAAAAATTGACAACACTGGCCAAATTATACATACTAGACATACTAGCTTAAAGGGGATGAAGACCAGGGCCATTCGTAGGTATTGCCTGGTTTGAAATGGATTGAGAGGGAAAGGATTAAGGGAAGAAACGAAGGGGAAAAGTAAAGTGAGATAGGAAAGGGGATGAAAGTGGGAGTTACATGGGTGTCAGTATCGGTACTTTATTTAACAAAATATAAATTGTTACATAAGTAAAAGGCATATTAACAATATGACAAAATGCCCGTACTGAGGGTGTTTCATAAGGAAACTGCGAATGGTGCAACAGGAGGATATGACTTGGAATTACAGTACGAAAATGACGTGAAACTAGTCCCAACAATCAGATGTTACATTCAGTTGCGAATAAAGGGGATGTAGGATTTAAGATCACAGCAGCACGTTCTTTGCTGTTACAAAGTATTAAAATAGAACAATCTATATACATTATTTACAAAAAGACAAAGGCACCAGTCTTAGGTATAACCCCTTGACAAACAATTTCCCAAAGGAGGCGCGTACAAAATTTCAATTAATATTATTAAGCACGTCTAGAGCACCAGTTTCTTTTATAAATGAATACAGTTCTTTGAAGATGTTTTTGTTGTATACAAGAGCACTAGAAATACATGGCCAATTATAGCCTTCTAGGAGAACAGTTTGGTATAACTTGGCTCGTTGCTGGTGGTAGAGACGACAGTCAAAAATTAGGTGGAAGGTGTCCTGTTGTGAGGAACCATCACAGTTGCAAGTGGAGGTGTTACTATGGTGAAACCGTTGTAGATAAGAGAGAAAGTTCCCGTGACCGGTGAATAACTGACTTACAATAAAGTCCACTTTAAAATGTTCACTCTTAAGCCTAGGTGGGATGTTAGGAATCAGCTTGTTGGTGATTAGTCCTGTTGTCTCTTCCTCCCAAAGTCTCTGCCACATATTAATAGTTGTTTGTTGGATAAGTGTTTTTATCGAAATGATTGGAATGTCACGAAAACATGGTTATGAAGATCTGTTAGCTGCTTCTTTTGCCCCTTTATCCGCTTCTTCATTACCCTGTATTCCAGTATGGGCACGTAGCCGTTGAAAAGCAACAGTATTTTTATTATTTGATAGTTCTTCTGAGATTTGGCGAAGTAAGCTGTTTTTATTTTTATTGTTTGAAATACTAAGAAGAGCAGCTCTACTATCTGAGCAGATGTTTACATGAGTATTGTTGATTTTGACATTGCTATTAACATATTGTAAGGCCTTAAGGATTGCTAAAAGTTCAGCTTGCATAATTGAGCAATGGGTTGCCAGCCAGTAAGTTTCCTTACGAATTTGTCCGTTCCTGTTCTTTTTATAGTGAACGAAAGCTGCACCTACACCTTTGTTAGATTTTGAACCATCTGTAAATATTGTATGACGGAATTCAGTATCTTCGTTATTCGAGTAAACATTAATTTTTATTTCTTTCGCTGGATGAAGACGAGGTGGGGGCAGTATTCCAAATGTCTGTATTCTGGTTCAGCTGGAAAAGATCGTCGATGTTCAAGTTAGGAAGGCTACCAATATCTAAATAAGTGTACAGATCTTTTTTCTTTTGATCCGGGATGTCGAGGTTTGTCAGCCTCCAGAGTAGCTTTAGCTTTAGCTTTTAAATATAGTGGTGGGAGACCCGCCAGAACCTGGAGAGCAGCTGTAGATGTTGTCTTGTACGCTCCTGTTATATGTAAAAGACTAATCCTTTGTATTTTTTGTAGTGTTCTTTTTATATGAGCCTTTGTAGAGACATTTCCCCATATGGGGGAATCCATATAGTATTGTCGGTTCTATGGCTTGATTGTAAATGTTGATCAAGGTAGTGCTATTCAAGCCCCACTTTTTTCCACCTACGTAACAAAGGAGGTGAGATAATTTTGTTGCTTTCATACAAATGTAGTCAATGTGGGAATTCCACTTCATGCCCTGGTCCAGGATAAGTCCAAGATATTTCATTTCCTTTGTGTACGGTATTCTAGAATTATTTATTTTTAATGATGGTGGTTTCTGAAACTGTTTACCTTTGGTCATGAGCATGCAACTTGACTTATTGATGTTTATTTCGAGCTTATTGTTTATGCTCCAGTTGTTTACTTCCTTTAGTAACTTATTAGCTTCAGTTTGCATTTTCTCACTATTCCTATGTGCCATCATAATCAGAGTGTCGTCAGCGTACGCTTGTAACGACCATTGTGCATTTATATTATTAGGCTTGATGTTCAGAAGGCTATCGTGCATGATGTTCCATAATCCTGGACTGGAACGAGATCCTTGGGACAGCCTCTTGTCATGGGTTGTATAAGTGGATTATCCATGTCGTATAGACCAACCGTACGATTATTAAGGTAATCCTTCATTAATAGATATAAATTTTTTGGGCACGGAATAATTTAAGTTGTCGAAGTAATGCTGGCCACCAAAGACTGTTAAAGGCATTATGATAATCAATAAGGATGCACCGATAAGCAAAATGGCCAATTACCGATTAATCGGCCATGCATTATCGGCCGATACCGAATAATCGGCCGATTACTGTTAATAATTTATTGCATTAATAGTGTGAGATCCTGGAGTTAATTATAATGTGGAAAAAAACCCATTTTTCTCCACCTGGTATTTCCATCTCCCTCGAGTCAGGTAAACAAGAGACGATCGAATATCCTCGCAAAATCAACAATCTCTTCCTTTGTTTCTAAAATAAATCTCAACACTTAATCGTTGACGCATGGAAACTTCAACATTGTTTAAAAAGCTGAAGTGTTTCTGTGTTTAACAGAAACAAAATATATTTCTTTAACCGCTGATATTTGGACAGCAACTACAAACAATTCTCCTTTTTTAAGTGTAACAGCTCACTGGTTGAAGGATGATTTTCAGCAGGAAAGAGCTGTTTTGCAAATTGTTTCCTTTGAAGGTTCCCACACAGCTACACGAATCAGTGAACAGTTAAAAATTGTTCTTGAACAGTATAAGTTGACAAGTGATAAGATATTCTTAGTACTAAGAGATTCTGCAGCAAATCTGGTAGCTGGAATTAGGAATTGCAACTTAGAAGCATTATCATACGCTGCAGCTGACACTAAACGAATGCATATTTTCTAAACAAGATGTGAAAACTATAATCACAGTTAATAGAAATATTGTCACACATTTTAATCATTCTGCTGTAGCTGTAATCAAATTGGAAGATTTGCAAGAAAAGTTAGGTTTGCAGAAACACAAATTAATTCAAGATGTTCCTACTCGCTGGAATTCTACATACTACATGTTGGAACAGCAAAAGGCCCTTGTCACATATGCTATAGATAATAAAATTCCTACGTTGAGCCCATATCAGTGGTCTCTCGTTGAAAAAATTGTTCTACTTGTAAAACCATTCAAAGAAATTACTGTGGAAAGCCAGCAAACGAGAAGCCACTTCATCTTCAATAATTCCCACAATAGAGACTCTGAAATTATTCTTATCAAAAGCAAAGATCAGTAGTTCCTTTAGTGGCATTAATACCACAACAGAAGAACTAGAAAATCCAATAAAAAAAAATTTTCAGCATATATAGAAAACAAGTCTTTATGCTTGTCATTTTTATTAGATTCAAAATGAAATTTCAAAAAGAGGATATGCTAGAGGAAATCTCAATAAGAATTAAATTCTGAAGCTTCTACTTCTGGAGGTGATCAAGATGGAGGTGAATTTCTAAGTTTTTCTGATTTATTTGATGAATTAGCTTCTGGTAAACGAAAGAATGAAGAATAGCATGTTTTTAAAAAGAAAGAAAAAAAAAACGAAAGAGACGAACAAACGTTTCGATCAAGAATTAGAAACATATTTACATTTATCCCTAATTTGAGCAAAATAGCTATGAAATATTTAAGTGCCTCAGCATCTTCCATTGAAAGTGAAAAAATTTTCAGCACTGAAGGTAACATTTATGAGCCGGCAAAAAATAGGTTATGCCCTGAAAATGATGAAATTCTCATGTTTTTGCATTGTAAAAACAAACTGTAAAACCCTTAAATTGTAATTTAAGGGTTTTACAGTTTAAATATTAAATTTTTATTTGTTTTATATTTGTTTTGTATTTAAACTTTAAACTTATGAAACAAATAAAAATTTAATTTTTCTTCTTAACCTATTCAATACTTTTTCTTATGTAAAGTTTAAACTTTATATTATACGTTATGTTATACTTATAATATGTATTGATGAAAGGAATAATTTGATTAGTAAAATTTTTTTAATATTCAGATTGTCATGTAATAAATAATAAATATATAACAGAAATTTATTAGTTCTTATTACTAGCATTGTACGTAACATTCTAACAAAAATACCAAAATGTAAAATTGGCCGATTATCGAAACCGATTAATCGGGGGAAATGGCCGATACCGATTAATCGGCTAAGTGGCCGATACGGCCGATTACCGATTACTTACCGATTAATCGGTACATCCTTAATAATCAATAGAAGTAAGGAGGACATGATGTGATTTTTCCCAGGCATCACGAATAAATTGAGTGACACTGTGTAAGGCATGATTAATAGATTTTTTGGGAACAAACCCATATTGATTTGGGTGTAGTAGTTGTTTACTGTATAAGTGAAAGTTAATTCTTCCTATAACAAGTCCATCCAAAACTTTCCCCAATGTGGGTAATAAGCTTATTGGTCTAAAGTCATTGGCATTGCTATGGCTGGTTTTGCTTGTCTTTGGAATAAAACGGATGGCTGCAGCTTTCCAGATGCGTGGGAATTGAGAGAGCTCCATACATTTATTGTATGTATAAAAGAAAGCGATCGGTACAGCATTAAAAGCCTGCTTCACCATTTTAGCTGTTATTGTATCTATTCCTGGAGCTTTTTTGTTTCTCATAGTCCTTATTGCTGTCTCAACTTCTTTAAAAGTAAAAAGGGGATCGTTGTTTGTTGCTGGTGGAGTTTCACTTGAGTTTCTGATGCTTGTCTGTTCTTCATTATCGTTTTCTTTGTCATCTTTTGGAAAATGAGTGTTGAGAAGATGGTGGTAGGTTTCTCTCATGTTCGTTGTTCATGTTCCGTCTTCTTTGTCTATGTATGCTGGGAGTATGATATTTTTCCTTGGTTTTAAAATTATATGGTACGGGTCGCTCCATGTCGATCCATTGCCGATTTCAGAGCAGTATTTCCTCCACGCTATCATTCAGGTTTTATTTATGCTAGTTTTGTATTCATTAAAATCCCGTAAGTATTCTTTCTTTTTTGTCTCTTTAATTATAGAATCATTTTCTTTTTGGTATCTTTTGTATAGCCCGCGAACCTTCTTCCTTTGCTCACTCAAAGAGTTATTCCACCATGGGGTGTTTGACCATTTTGATTCTATAATTGTGGTGGATTGATGGTAAGAGGTGATAATTGATGTGGTAAGGTGGGCAGCTAACGTGTCAATGTCTTCAATTTCGTGGAGATCTTGTGTTTGTGGCTGTCCCAATGAATCTTGAAAAGTTCTTGGTATTGTGTCCAATTAGTAATCTTCTTGAGGTTGTTGTAATTTTTTAATGACGGATCAGTATTAACGATGGTTGTTTTGGCCAAATTATATAGGAAGATACTGGCTGCATTTGGCAGACTCAACAGTTCCAGAGCTGTTGAGTATTTTTTTGGTAAATGAAGTACACCACTACAGTAGTGCCATTTCATAACATGTTTGGTGTTTTGACGTCACATTTAATAGCATCTTTTATTTATACTATCTATCACTAGCTGCAATTGACCAATGATGGCTGCTTCCAGTTCCGAAGCATATGTCATTCAACATTCGGCAGATGTACTGTACCTACATACCAGCTACTGATTAAAATACTTTTGCTCTGTTACAACTGTTGACTCTGCTGAATGCAGTCACTGTAATGCTAGTCCTCACAAGGGCTATAGCAAAACTGGGATTCTTGCTAGAATGTAAACAGAACAAAATAAACATTCTGGAAATAGAATATAGAATAATTAGCTTGCTCAATTTTTTTTCTTTTCTTTATGGATGTGTCTGAAATGGGCCCAGGATGGAGCAAAAAACATGTGCTTAGACTAAAATTTTGAAGTGCAAGAATTGTTTTAAAGCTGGAAAAGTGCATAAGGTAGTTTGAAGTCAATTAAAAAATATATATATATATTTTTTAGCTCTAAAATAATTTATACAAAGAAATTAAACACAATATTATCAAGTGAATGGGTAAAAATTTCATTTACATAGTATCATTACAGTCACAAATCATTAAGCAAATAAAAATATAAATTTTCGTAAGGTATTAAATAAATGAAAAGTTATTAAATTATAAATTACCTTAGACTTTAATAAAGATGTTCCAGAAATAAGCACCCAAAGGTCCTTAGCTGACCTACATGAAAATATTTAGAATTATGAGGCAACTTGTAAAATTAATGAAGGTAAACTTTATATTTATATTTAAAAACTGAATTAAATTTCAAATTAAATTTTTAATAGTATCTTAAAATGTTTTCAAAATTTTATATATTCCATCCTCAAACAATACAAACACCAACAAATCAAAAATATGCTAAAATGGAATGCAGAAGTCCATTTAAAAGCAAAAATGTTTTTCAAGACTCAAACCCTTTTCAGTTTACATTTATTTTTTAATGGAACCTCAATATGATAATGAAACATTTTCATAAAAAAAAATTTTTTTCTAATCTTTCACTTCTATCTTCTTTCTATTCTTCTTTCATGTTAAAATGGGATACCATTTTAACTTGAGCTGGCATTTAATAAGACTACAAAAATCAAAAGACAATGGTTTAATTTTTGTTTTAAATTTATATAAATTCCATAAGATTAAATATAGAAGGCACCCAAAATATATTTTTAAAACATTTAAAAATGGTTTGGAACAGCTGCATATTATTACTTGTGATTCAGTTATTTCCAATGAAGAAACTGAATCACAAATCATAAACACAGTTGAACCTTGTATAGTGTCCACCTCCCAACAAGAATTGCTTCTAAACAGCTGCCATTAAAAAATTTGAGTAAAAATAAGCTTGAAGCAATTAATAAGGTTGTATATAGTCAATTCTGAAACCACATTATGATATCTAATTTTACTGAGTTTCCTAAGAGAAATGATTAATCCAAAACAATACTTGCTTTATCAAATACCTTAATTTCACTTGTTTCATGTTTGACAAGGCAAGTAATGCTTTGATTAATGAGTTTTTGTATGAAATTCACTAAAAAAAGTAGTTTATAAATAGTATAGAGTGTCCAAAAAGTCACTGTGCATTGAGAAATTTATAACAACATTAAAGTTACACATACAGTACAGTCAATTCTGCTTAATTGGGACACATTGGGACTAATCCATTTTGGCCCAATTAAGCAGCTGCCTCAATTAAACGAACTAATAATAAATTTTAAAATAAAATATGTAATATGTAGGTAAATAAGTAAGTAGGTAAAAAAATAATAATTAGGTACTGTACCTATCTTAATGCTTTATTAAACCAAAATACAGAAATAAAGATAGAGTAATTTAAAAACTCACACCAAAAGTTGTATAATCTCTTAATAACGAGCACTGAGTTAAGAGTTAATACAATATTTCTTATATCACAAGTACTTTCGACAAGTATAAATTCGTCGTCCTCAAGCAAAAAAAAAACAATATAAAGAAAAGAACATGCAGAGTGTTCCAAGGAGAACAGAAATTCTTAAAATTTAACTCAAATGTCTGGTAATACCGTTAGTAACGTGCAACAAGCTTTCGAAAATGTTAGAAAATCTTAAATCTACACAGCGGGTGGTGCATGCGTTGAATTGCAGTCACGCTAATTGTACAATGTTTGGTACATTTTGTTGTTTAAATGCTGATATAAGGCTACCCATATCTCGGGCAAGTCGAAGGTGGGAACGTTGCATGCATTTGTAGCATGCAACGTATATCAGCATTTAAACAACAAAATGTGCCAAACATTGTACAAATGGATTTGAAAATGATTACTCACTTTCAAATCCAGAACAAAACTGATGCTATTCGAATTGCTATTTTGGTTATAGATAATGAAATTTACTTTTCTTATCAAATAATGAATATAATGCTGCATATAATGAAATTTGCTTTTCTTTATCAAAGATCTGTTGACTATCCTTATTACAAATACCTTGAGTTCTAAATCCTTTTCTATGCCCTGACCTGGACTCAGAGCACTTTGGGCATTGTGCCTGAAAATGTGATTTGCTCCCACATTGACAATGATGGCAATTACTCAACAAAATTGAACAGATCACTTCTGCCACCTTTCAGAATGTGTTTGATAACAATAACATGTAGCATATAAACTCACTATTTATCACACCGGAAATACTAAAAAATTTACACACCTGAACCATTTACGGTGTGATCATGCAAAAAATCGGTAAACGAACGTTTTCGAACCCCTTCTGGGCTCTGCTTCAGGTTCCAATCAGTTTCTACCAACGATGTTCGAAATCCGTTAGACGTATAAGTCCGTTCGATCATGTCGTTTGAAGCTTGAATTTGAGTTGTAAGTTCGAATGTATTCCAACAATCCCATTCGGTGACGGGTGAACTGCTTGCGCATGCGCGAATGGGATTGTCGGAATACATTCGAACTTACAACTCAAATTCAAGCTTCAAACGACATGATCGAACGGATTTATACGTCTAACGGATTTCGAACATCATTGGTAGAAACTGATTGGAACCTGAAGCAGAGCCCAGAAGGGGTTCGAAAACGTTCGTTTACCGATTTTTTGCGTGATCACACCGTAAATGGTTCAGGTGTGTAAATTTTTTAACATGTAGCATTGTGTGCAGTCATGTCTTCAGGTCTGTGGGGGACATTTCCAACATTTGCTGTAAGAGAAGCTGCAATGTCATATGCAAAACTTCACTTTTATCAAAGCTTTACTTAAATCTTTTCTACTGCACAGTAACTTTCTGGACATCCTGTATGTGTATATCATATTCATGAAAATATTTTTCTATCCAAATTCTTAATACTTTTATTCATTTACTGCAGTCTTGACAATCTATGACCTTTAAGGTTCTAATGCAAGGGTGGGCAACCATTTTTATAACATGGGCCAGAATAAATTTTACGTTTTTTCCACGGGCCATAGTAGTTAATTGACACCTTGTGACCTGTAAATTTTTAGTTTGCAAATATGAAATAAATAAATAAATAAATAAAAACAAATTAATTACTACAGTCGACCCCCCCTATAACACTGTTGATTATTCCGTTTTATATGAATTCCTTGTTGTATGAGTCACTTAGATTTTACAAATGCGTGTACCGAACTGTGAACGACTCACCTACTTGTAAAATCTAAGTGACTTTAAACACAATAAAAACAGCCCTATGTAGTTGGATACGACAGACATTACATTTTCTAATTGCATAGCTTTTGCACATAGATTTTCTTGATGGATGATGCGATGAGATATAAATAATTTAGAAAAATTCTGTTCTCCCATTTTTTGTTTGAATAAGGAAATGACTCCCTTATTTTTCCTGTCATTGCTGCTGCAACACTTCGGAAAATAATATTCAATTTAAACTAGACGAATTACATCGAAAAATATTTATTTATAATTTCTTCTAAACATCTCGCGGGCCGGATAGAAACTTTTCGCGGGCCGGGGGTTGCCCACCGTTGTTCTAATGTGTAGCCTTCGTGGCTTTGACATGATTTTATTTTCCTGTTTTCCACCTTATGCTATTATGCAACCCAATTAAGCTAATATTCGTAACAAAGAACATTCAAAGTAAACTTTACTAGTAAAAATGAGAAATAACTATGCATTATTAGCATTCATATCATTGGCATACATTATTTTAGTATCTAGTGTACTAAAGTGGCTGTAATGGAGTATGTTGATACTCAGCCAGTCTTAAAGCCTGCAATTCTATAGGAAAAATGCATATGGCTCACAGAAAGCCTACAAAGTTCACTGTGCTGTGGTCTGCATCCAGAAAAGATTGCTCATCACTGATCTACGATATTAATATGGAATTGTACAACACATGCTAATTTTGATACATAGAATACTGAAATATTATTCTTTGTTAATATTTCACATATGGATTATCTAAAAAATTCTGAGTGTAGTCAAAAAAATACATAAGAAAATGTAAATTGAGACATGGTAAAGAAGTTATCTCTCAGACATATCAAAGATAAATTTAAAGGTATATCAAGAAATTGAACAAAAATACATATTTTATTGTGTTTCAGTTTTTCAAACATCTACAAACAACACAATAAGAAAAAAAGCAAAAATTGTTGTGACATTGTCACAATGCCTGGCTACAATTTTTAATCATATTCTTAATTTATTTAAGATATATGCTCTCCACCACAAATTAATAGTGTCATGCTTCTGTAGATCATACTTTTCCTGATAACAAGTCATGCTGATCATCCATGTAGGAGGAAATTTTTTACTTGAAATCATGTGACTTCCAGTCTAGACTAGAAGTTCATATATAGTAAATGGAACTCCTGCCCAAGCTTTCCGTATCTGGTATCAACTTTCATCTATCTAATACTGTTCTCGAGATTAAGGAAAGAGGGACAGATGGACAACAGTGGAAATTTATAGGTTTACAATTTTTCCAAATTGCAGTCCAATCAAAATATCTTTGATCAACTCATGAGATAATCACTTTGATATCTTTAAGTCGGTAACTTTAAGCATTTGAAAATGTTTGAGATTCTTTATCATTAATTACAATCCCTCTCAAATTTTTTTATATATCCATGCTTTACTTGCAACCTCCGCACTGCTTTTTTCTTATTTCTTCTCCTGACTCCGGGCTTTATTTCCCAAAATTGTTTGGAAAAACTAATATTTAGAATGTGTTCCAAGAAAATTGATTTTTGTTACATTTTAAAAGAATCTGCAGTTACATTTCATTATTTATTGAAATCAGTTTTAATATCATGTATATTTTACAAATTTAATATTGAAAAAACATTTTTTTTTATATATTCAAAAAAAATTCCTGTAATTTTTCTCCCATCCATTCAAATTCAGTAAAATATAATGAACAATAATTAAGAAATCTTATTAGCAAAAGCTGGAATGGTGGAGAGTCTAAGCAGTCCTATGATTTTTTGTTGATAGCACTTTTTATGTGTGAGCACTCAAAAATCCTGTATGTTCTGGATATATCTATCATATATGTCTCATCTGCAAATAAAATTGAGAAAGCATTGGTGTATCTGTAAAAAATTATTACTCCTAATCTGAATAGAAGTTACTTTTAGATTAATGTCCACATATTTATTTATACCCTATATAATTACCTAAAACTAATTTCCAGAGTGCATATACTTTTTGTTTCAGATAAATGGATCTGTAAGATCAGACCAGTCTTTGTTACACAATACAAATCATTTCTGTAAAGTGTGTCAGTTGGCAGAAAGTATACAAGTAGGATCAAATCATATTTACTCTGCAAAAAAAAATTGCTCACAAAATGGTAAAATGGGAAATGTAAAATGTAATGATAAAATGGGAATGGTAAAATTCTTGCAAAATTCTCTCTTAATCCCAGTTTATCAGATATTTTAAAAACAATGTTCTTTTTATCATTTATAAATTTTAACTACTTTTCACTGTCGACAGTTAAACATATTTCTTTGCCGTCAACTATAAGCATGACTTTAACCGTAAAGGTCGCCATCTTCAATTCTATTTATCCGATCCAAACAATGGCTGCATTCAGCAGACTCAACAGTTCCAAAGCTGTTGAGTACTTTTCTGCCAAATGCCCTTTACAGTAGAGCTGTTTTGGAACACGTTTAGTGTTTTAATGTCACATTTAGTAGCATCTTTCATTTACAGTTCATGAAACTGACCAATGATGTCTACTTTTTGTTCCAACACATACATCACTCATCATTCAGCAGATGTAACTACTTAACAGCTACTGATTGAAACACCTTTGTTCAGTTACGACTTTTGACTGCTGAATGCAGCCAATCCTACCCTCCACTCAAATTAGTCCAATTGCAATCCAGTCAATCCTAGATGGCATTTGTATATGCAGACAGAGATCAATCAGATTGTATAGTTCATTCGTATACATGATTTGAACAGAGCAACCTCAGATCAGTTTGATTGCGAAAGTATATGCATCTCTATTGTAATCCATACGAAGTTCTTGAAGAGATAACTAATTAACATATTTTTAAGTATCTATTTTGGTACAATTACACCTCTGAATGAGGCAGTTGGGACTTTATCACAGATACAGACCTTAGACATGTGGGGGGACTAAAATTTGGGGGTGCAAAACCTTCATTCAGAACTGCAATTTTACTCGTATTTTTTGTAAGAAACGTAAATTAACCCATTATTTACGAAGAAAACAAAGTAGTTTTATTTACTCGAATTGATAAACCTAATATTTTGACTTATACGAAAGCATTTCATCAAATAAAAATTATACCGTATTTTCATTATATTAAAAGTAATTAGAACATTAAAATATCCCTTAAGAATTTCCAACGAATCGTTTACAGAAACACGTTTCTCTCACCTTATAACTCCCGCCATGTTATCGCTGTATCGAATAGGCGATGCGGAGAATAAATCGCGCTAAATAAATTAAACGTAAAAATTCGTATTATTTACGTAAAATAATTAATAAAAATTCTAAAATTTGTTATAAATTTATATTTTTAAATAATAATTTTTTTTAACATAAGGTACATTTTATTCTCTATCGTGATATAGACGCGACCGGTGATCAATGGAAAGCGTGGGAGCGGTCGAGCGAATGCTGATCGGAAGTTTCTGTTTTGATTAATGTAGGGTATGTGGGTTTTTTTTAAATATTATTTCATTATTTTAAATATATATAATTATTTGAACAATGATTCATTTTCTTATAGTAATTTAAATTTTAAATTCTCTTCCTGTTCGCGAGTCGAGCGACGCTCGGCTCGCGAACAAATATCTAAAATTTCGCTGTAATTTATTATTTACGTAATTATCGATTATGGTAATCGTTTAATGTATATTTTGAATGAATGCGGATGATATATCTTATAAAGTAAAGTAAAATTTCTAATTTATAAGCTATTTTTCTCGATTTATCATCGGTAGCGCATGCAACGCGACGCGCGCCATGTGCTATATGTTTAGTAAACTAGCTGTTACCCGCGACTTCGTCCGTGCAGATTTTGCAAGCGAACACCATTTATATTCAGTATTTCAACAACCATAGTAATTGTTATATAACACTTACCGCTGAGAATCAAACGAACTGTTTTCAATTTGATCAATTTTCTGGGATGTTTACAATCGTTCTATAATCGAATCAATATGCGACAAAAAAATTCAAATTTAAAACGGTTCGAATATTTGGTTAAAAAATCGAAATATATAAAAATATTTATAACAATGTCTGAAATGTTGTCAATTTAATACGCCTAAGTACTCAATAAAGACTAAACATAGTTGTAAACAAAAAATCACATTTAAAATAGTACAGTAAAAGCCGTTCTTCAGGTTAAGCCTTAATGCTCTCCCTCTGCCCCGCAGGGGAATTTCGAAAAATCCCTTCTTAGTTGTGCGTTTCTATGACGTACCCTAACTATGTACCAAATTTCACCTCTAAATTCAGCGGTTTGCCCTGAGCAATGATGAATCAATCAGTCAGGACAAGTAATTTTGTATATTTAGATAAACCCAAAAACACTATTTGTTACGCATTTTTTAAAGTTATATTGAAAGCACAATGTATATAATTCCCCAATTTTTCGTCTGTAGAGGTTTACTTTCATTTATTTAAGTGCTCCCAAAATTAGAAACAATTTATCATGGTTGATGAACTGCCCTTGATATATTGATTCATCACTTGGATAATAAAATGAATGAAGTACAGTATTAGAAATTAGATAATGGAAATTGTGCATGAATTAGTTGAATACAATGTGAAGCTTACATAGCATGAATTAATTATGTAAAAATGCAACAAAATCATTAAAATTAATCAATCTGAGTGAAAGCATAGAAAAAAAAAATTTTTCTGGATTTGTTGCTGTTAAAAATTTTAATATAAAAACAATAAAAGGGGACATCCATTAATTACATGTACTGTTTAAGAAGAGTGTTGAACATGGCAGGGAAGGTTTAGACCAAAAACTAAACATTTTCGGTCTAAACATGTACTCTTCATTTTTAAAAACAACATTGCAAGTTACGAAAGGTCAATTTAGTCATCAATTATATATTAGTTTCACCTTTAAAGGATAATTTTTGTTTTAATACTAAAATATAAAATCTTGTATAGGTGTTTTCTGGCATTACAGTAGTAGGATAATGGGTAGATTGTACATTATATTAACATTTGTAATGGAAATTTAATATGATGTAAAAATATGGATATCAAATTTTCATATTATTATCAATTAATTATCTTATGTTTGGTACATTTGATTCATGCAAATGCAAATTTGTCAGAAGGTCATGTTTATGGTAAGGAAGATCGGGTAACAATAATCTCTACCACTTAAAAAGATTGTGTCATTTCTTTCAGAATTAAATTTTCCAAAAGTTAATCCCTTTTCCCATTAACAACTCTATATAGAGAGTGGAAAAATTATTTGCTAGCTTGCATGATAGCAGCTATGCATCATCTTGCAAGTTATGTGCTACAATTGCAGTTTTATTGCATTATTTCCAGGTTACATATTAGAAAAGCACCATAGAAGAATAAATAAATATATATTAAAATGATGTCATATTTTGGAATGATCTAATTCTTAATAATTCACAAAATTTATAAATAAATTGCCATATCTATAATATATTTTCTACTAAAAGAAAAATTTACAGAAATAAAGGACTGAAATTTTTTAATTTTCTTTATTTTTTTAGTTTGGTAAAATCTTTAGATAAAANAGCACATATTTGATACATTATTCCATAGATTTATAAATAGAAATATATATAATTATAAAATTTATATATAGAGTACTTTTACAGTATTTAAAATATTTACAAATATATACATTTAAACACTTAAAGTTTTCATTCTATTTAAAGAAAAATTTTTATTGGTATGATGACCTATATTAGTTCTTTAAAGATTTTAATTTTAAAGCAAAGTTTACTATAAAGCAAATATGTACTGTAATATTCACTTTATAGTAAACTTTGCTTTAAATATTTTAATTGGCAGCTGTCAAGTCAGGTTGGCTGACAGGATATTGAGTTGTTTTTCCAAAGATTGGCAATTCAAATCCATCATTTGACAGTTGGCATCTTTCCAATTTCTGCAACGTGGTTATTATTTCAGTATTTTACTATAATTAATCTTAGTTCTGATTATATTTGAACACTGAGAAATAGATTAAATAAAAGCAATGGAATTAGATAATTTTAATCAAATTTAAATCAATGGATACTGTACATTCCAAGTTATTGAAAAACCATGTAAGATGAAATAAATAACTACTTCATTCAGAAAATTGTGTAAAAACATGACGAAAATTTCACTCCGGTATAGATCTGTTTTGTTAGTATTGAAAATTTGGTCAGGAACATAGCCACCTTCTCTTATTATTTTGGCTAGTTTTTCTGGAAAGTTCTTGGTGGTGTTTTCATATGCAAATATAATTTTTCCCTTTAATTTTAATATTGTGAAATGTATTTCTTTTTAAAAATCCTGTCAGCTATTCTTCATTATCAGAAAATACCTTTTCCTTTCTACCTTGAGTTGCTCAAAGACTTGTTGATGGTTCCAATTCCTATACTTTTTTTATTATATTACTTTTTTTATTTTATTTACTTTTTTATTTATTTACTTTTTTTTGCCATGCCTTCTGCTTTATAATATTTTCATTTGCAGTTATCCTCTTTTACATATAAAAAATTTTCTATTTTTTATAATATCTACTGCGCAATGATGTTTTGAGCTAAGTTTTGATTCGCAGATGATAGATTTTCATATAGAATTCTCATTTCTCTTAATTGTTCTGACAGTTGCTTCATTCAAACCAAAACTTTTGCCTGCAGATGCCGAACCTTCATCACTCACAAGGCAGTCCCAAGATTTTTATTTTTGTTTCTAATGAAATTGCTTTTCTTTTCCTTTTCTTTGTAATTTTAGACATTTTGAACTCTATTGTAAAAATTATAATTAAAATATTTTAATTAGACTTGTAAAAGCTTGTAAATTAGATATGAAGTGGATTGTGAATTTATACATTTGTAAATTCACAATTACATTTGAAACTAGAACTAATTGCTTGAAATGAGGTTAAGAAAAAATTGAATGGAATACAGCTAATTAAGAGATAAAAAATAGGAAGTGAAATTAAGAGTTTAGAAATCAAAAAAAAAAAAAAAAAAGGAAACTTTAAACTTTTAATGAAAATAGCAGCCTTTCCTGTCTGCTTCTGTTTTTCTGAGATAAAGGTTAGAATAACCAGATTTAGGACACATTTGATAAGAACAAATAAAATTCAAACATGTTGTCATTAATAAAATATAAGATCATCAGATGTTCAATAAAGCATTCTTAATTACATATTATGTTTTACACTAAAATTTGAAAAATTCAAGTATTTTTAATTTTTGAGACTTGATTTATTATGTCACATTTCTGTTTTAATTGAAAACATAAAATTGATAGAATTTATAGCTTTATAATGTATTAATGAGCACTTCTAATAAGAGTAACTTATCATTAAAAAATTAAAATTAAAAATTAAACATAAACACAGTTTGATTTTTAATTTTTTAACTATAGATCCTAATTCTTATTAGTTTTAATGTTAGAGTTAAAAAGAAGCTTAGTTATAAACAGGTAACCAAACTATTTTATTGAATGACCATTGAATAACTAATTCATTGGTTAGGAAAAACTTCATTCAAAAGTTCTATCTGCAGCAACACTCTGTTTTTTTGTAACGTGGGAAAACTTAAGTTTTGGTGATGATTACTGAAAACCATGTGTGTTCATCCTTTCCTTAAATATGTAATATTAATATTTTTCTTAATCCCTCAATTCTTTTTTGAACACTTTGTACATTTAATTTTGAATTCATTCATAATTATCTTAAGTCTTTGAAAAACTTGAACTTGTATTTATATTATATTCAGCACCTTTCTCACACTTTTAGCAATAGGTATTTTTATTATCAAAAATGAATGTTTTTGAGAAGCGCAACAAAAGCAAATTGTAACCTGAAGTAGACCTCAGAATTAAACCAAAAATGTTTGAAATAATAAATAATAAAAATACTTATTGCTGAAAGTATGAGAAAGTTGTGATGATATTAATCATGTTACAGCTGCTATAAAGTGATAATTAGTATTTATATATAATCTTAGTTCATTTTAAAAAATTATATAGAAAAAAGAATTAGAATAAATTTATAATATCTATCTACAGTATAACAACATAGAAGTCTAAGTATAGAAGCATGATTTATAAGTTTATATATAAATATTTCAATAATCTTTTTAGCTATTGAATAATAATGAAATTGATGAGAAAAAAAACAAAGGTATAAAAGTGCATTTAGACATATGATGAATGATACAATTAAATTTCATATACCTTTTATAGTTAATTTTTCAAGGTCTGTAAATGTACAGTACATGATGACAGCAATTTCATGCTGAGTTCTAAGTATCTTATAAAAAGAAATATACTTATTATAGTTAAAAATTAAGTGCTAAAGAATATTTTTAAGATATAAATGATATTTATCAATACAGTATTATTATAATTAGTAAAATTTTAAAATTTAATTAAAATTTCTTTTCAGAAAGTCTTCAATGGCAACCAACATAATATGCACCTTAAAAAGATATTTTCCCCGAATATTTTCTGAACAACTAGCATTTGTATTCATCATTTTTGCAATTGTTGCTATATATTATTTTGAATTAATTATTGTTGTTCCCTATGTTCACAATGATATGCCTTACTTACGCTACATTCACTATGTATGTGGAACATTTGTAATGATAAATGTTTTTGGAAACTTCATTTTAATAGTGATAACTACCAGCACACTTAGTCCAGGTTACATTCTCCCTTCTACAATGAGGCCAAAATGGAGATTCTGTGCCATCTGTGAAGCTATTTTTCCACCAAGATCATTTCATTGCAACATTTGTCAGACTTGCATTTTGAGAAGAGATCATCACTGCACTTTTGCCGGTTGCTGCATTGGCTTTAAAAACTTGAGATATTTTTGGTTATTCTTATTTTATCTGTCGATCGGTACTTTTTATGCTACTGTGTTAAACATGTTTTACATATGGGATATGTTGGGGGGTATTACCCTTCTTTCAGTCACTGCACACATCTTGCCATTCATGTTTTGGATAACAGGTTATCTTGATACCAATGTTGTTTTTTCTACATTTCTTTCTGTGACTTCGATTGCCGGGTTTTTATTTGTTACTAGTTTGTTGGTTTACCATACCATATCGCTCTTGAAAAACCAAACCGCATACGAGCGAAATAACAGTATTACTTGTTATAACTTGGGATGGAAACAAAATATTATTGAAAGTCTTGGAAGAAGATGGTATTTAACATGGATATTTCCATTGGTATCATCACCACTTCCCAGTAACGGTATTGATTTTTTAACTAAAGAAAATATTCTTTTAAATCAAGAAAAAACTAAATAATTATTTATTAATAACAACAACACAACATGCAAAATATTTTGTTAAAATTTTTAAATATGTATCTCATAGAAAATATTTAATTTTTTTTTTTAATACAAGTCATAAAAAATATTTTCTTAGAATTTTTTATACATATTTATTTTAAATATTTGTGTGTCAAAATATTATTTTAACAACTTCAGAAAGTATACTTATGCTCATTAGCATATCAGTCCATTTTATGCATTACAGCACTTAAATATGTTATACTTAAAAATACAATTTCAGATTTAACAAATCAAAATTAATTGGTTATCATTATTAAAGAGGTACAGTACTCAACAATATTGCTGCAGTACATTTAATATTGGTAACAACATTTGCTCCAATACTTTGCCTTTAATTGTTAACTAAATTGTTGACAATCGACATTATACAATTTAACAGTTACAAGATTTCCTGTAAGAAAAATTCTGTTAAAAACTAAACATAATCGTTCATGCAGTGGAATAGAATTCAAATTTTCCATACAGAATAAATTTCTTAGCAAAGTCATATCTAGTAGCAGTAATTAAGATGATAACTTCAACAAAATATCAAAGTGTACTTAATTATATAAAGGAATTATATGCTGTTTTAGAAACAAGGTCTAGATCTAGGCTATGGTGTAGATCTGCCTCTATTCTGGTCATATACAGCTATTGACTAGAACAACAATAGTTAATAATGACCAACTACTTGCTCAACAGGGAGGATTGAGTTTGAGTGGCACTTGAGATAATCTAAACCACAAGTTTTCAAACTTATTTCAACCACCGCCCACTTTGAGATTTAAAAAAAAATCTAGTGCCCCCATATTTTTTAACTTACCATTTTATATTACCATCTGTTGCTTATTGTAAAAACATTTATTTCAAATATAATGTTTAAACATGCATTATTATATAGATAGGATAGATAGGGTATGACCCATATCCTATTTCTGAGATCAAAGAATGTTTCAATGAGAAGAAATAAAACTCATATTTAATCACTGAGCCTTCTACTGCCCCCCTGAAAGCCTCTAGCACCCACAAGGGAGCATTATCATCCACTTTGAGAAATGATGGTCTAAACTATGGTTTTTACAGGATGTCTGAAAAGTTACTGTACAGTGGAAAAGGTATAAGTAAGATTTTAGCATATTTATATATAAATATTTCAATAATCTTTTTAGCTATTGAATAATANATAAGAAGATAGAGGTAGAACACATACTTTGAAAGGAGCATGACCTAATGAAGATCTTACTCATTATAGCATTTACAATTTTTCTTTATATAACTCATCCTTACCCTCAAAATTAAGCTTTTTGCCATTTCATAATAATTAATTAATTAAAAATGTTTTTTTTTTTTTTAAATAACGCAATCTCATACAGATGGCACCACATGCAGTTTTATGTATTGTGATTAATGTGAGATTTTATTAAAACTATAACTTTTATACAGTAATAGCTGGGAGCAACTTGTTGGATTTTTTGGCATCATTCTTCAGAGATAAAAAAAATCTATTGTATATGTTGTTGATTTTTCCGTCCGATGGCGAGATTATTATTAATCATCGAAGACAAGTCTGTCCAAATGGGACCACCATTTATTTTGTACACCAGACTTTACACATACACATCCATGGCGACATGGATTTTTTAAAGGGCTTTTTTTTACCTCTGGCGGCATGAAGCCTAAAAAGGAAGGTCTGTCGCCATGGATGTGTATGTGTAAAGTCTGGAATACAAAATAAATGCTGGTCCCTTTTGTATGAAATAACTATTGTATATTAATCATTGAAGACAAGTCTGTCTTCGATGTTAAACCCTCGGTAAAGCGCGTTAATGATTCACGCACAGTTGTGCGCGCGGGGTTCTATATAACCCTCGTGTTCAAAATTCAATTTTTCAAAACTCATAGTTTTTTTCGCGATTTTTTCATTTTGGATGTTTGTGGGCATGTGTTTTTGATGTATTAGTGAAAAAAACTACTTCAAATATATCGATTTTATTTATTCGTAACGAAAAACAGAAAGTATCCCGTTTTTAAAAATTTTTCAAAAAAAATTGGTCGACTTCAAGAGCGTATTTTACAAACTGTAAACAAGTCTGATGCTATCTAAGCTGTCAATCGTCTTCCTGCATGTGTTTTTTAACTACCACAACAATAAATTCTTTGTCCGAAACCCCGGGCCAAAAATATCTATGAATTTCCAAAAATACACCATCTAAAATCATACAGCAACTAGGAGGAAAAGTGGAGATTATTTGCAGATAACATCGATAGTAAACTTCTTTTGCACTGTAATTGGTTAATTTATATGTCTGTTATTAGATCGACCTATAAAAACAATTGCTAGAAATATTCCCGCGAAATGCCACGCCCCCGAAGGCCACCACACGGAAGTATGTAAACAATCGCTACAAAATCGCGTGTTTTAATCTTTTTTTCCACTTCTAATTTGCTAATAATAAGTCGCTTGAAATTATTTAGACGAATAAACATGTTTTCAACACCATTTAGCAATAAATATCGCCAAAAAACGCCACCTTTCAAACTG